GAATGTCTGAGTTGGATGCGTGAGGCTGAATAGGACAAGGGGAGGAAGAAGAAGGAAGGAGGAAAAAGAACCCGCGCGGTCTGAACACTTAATCGACGCTGGCATGCCAATCTGTGCATCGCGTGCGCCTGCCACGCTTCGCCGAGGAGCCCTGTCTATGAACATGTGGGTGCGAGGACGAGTCCGCATTGACTGCAAGATGTTGGTTACCAGCCTGGAACATATCCCTATCCCTATGCTGGGCACCTCCTCATCAAGATGCCAATCTTAGGTGTTCCCTTATTTTTTGAGGGCGCATCCCTAAGATTGTCATCGCCTTTTGCCTTGCCAGTCTTAGGGATCGGGATAAGTTCGAGGCTGGTAAGTTGGGCACAACGAGCAAGTCGCTCGAGGCACCCCCGCGCTGGGGGCGCGAACGGGCCCGTGCAGTGCCCGCTGGCGGCTCCCCCCCGCGGGATTGTGCTGAAACCCGCGCCGCACCCGAGACGTCCTCGCCACCTGCAAGCGCGGGCCCTGCGGAGCACGCGCGAGTCCGAGCGGATGTGGCCGAGTTTGCGTGGAGGGAGGAGCGAGTCTGAGCATGACAGTGAGTCTGCAACTGCAGGAGAAACCGCTACGACGGAGCGCGAGTGTGACCAATCACTGGGTACGATGACGTCTGAATGTGAGTCGGTCTCTGGGCATACCTGAATCTGAGTACGACTGAGTCCGAGTGTGACGATCTATTGCGAGTGTGAATGCGAGGAACTAAAGAGGAAGAAGGAATCGACGTGTTATGGATCATAACTTCTCGACGCGAAAATCCCCACATGTGCATATGATACTCCTGGCACGTCTCGCTGGGGAACTCTGTCCGTGAGCGCCTGGGTGTGAGAGCGACTCAGCGTGGACGAGGGGCACGACAACGACAACGGCGACAGCGACGACTTCAATTACGTCACCTTCCTCTGGAATTCTTTCAGGGCGGACGAGGGAAGCAGAAGTGGAAGAGCGACGGATCATTGAACTACCAGAAGAAAGAAGACTGAATGAATCTGGGCGTGAATGATCTGAACGTGTGCGAATACAAACATGATTGGACCCGGGTATGCTGAGTGGTGACTGGGACTGAGTCTGGGTATGGGAGAGTCTGAGTACGGGTGGGCCTGAGTACGAATGATCCTGACCGGAGCTGAAACGGAATGTGAGTAAATCTGAGCGTGTCTGGGTATGAAAATGCGCTGACGAGTAAGAGGCTCATTCTGCCTGGGCTTGAGAACGAATCAGTCTGACTACGAGTGAATCTGAGGGTGCGTGATTCTGAGTGTGAATGAGTCTGGGTGTGAATAAATCTGCATATGAATGAACCTGGGTACGGGCATCATGAGTATGAGTCTGAATAACGGGCAGGTTCGAGCACCAGTGAATCTTGAGGGCGGATAAATCTGAATGTGAGTAGGTCCGAGTGTGAGCTAGTCTGAGTGTAGATGCGCCTATGCGAGCGAGTCTGAATGTGAAGGAATCCACCAAATGAGCGAATCTGGGTACATACTAGTGGGTCTAAGTATGGTTGAGTCTGGCTATGATGAGCAAGTCTGGGCGGGGAGGAAATGCTAATGCGAAATTCTGGATGCGAGCACGTCTAACTGGGGAAGAACAGGGGGAGATGAGTGAGTGCGGTCCAAAGGCGTCCAGGTGACACAGAACCAAAAACAGATCGGGCCGAGCCGCCAGAAGCATGCATCCCCAGAGTCTGGGAGCGCACGGGCCCGAGAAATAAGCCCCTGGCGGCTCCTCCTCGAGGTGGTGAAGCCGGCGCCTCGCCGAAACAATCCCGACACAATTCGCTTCGAAAGCAAAACATGTTTTTTTGATCCGCGGGTCGAGAGCGCACCTCTTCTGGTCGAGTCTAAGCGGGCCGCGCGAAGTTTGAATTTGGCAGAGAAGAGGATCTCCGAAAGCAAAACGTGCTGGGCACCCGAACGAGCAAAGCGCCAGAGACAGCCCCACGATCCGGGCGCGAGCGGGCCCGTGCGGCACCGCCTGCCGGCTGCCCCGTCCCGTGGGTGTGCTGAGACCTGCGCCTCGCCTGATGCATCCTCACTGACTACCTACCAGACCACCCCAACCCAACCCGAAGACCCCAATTTCGGGTTGGGGGGGGGGTACGGTTTCCATCTGTGTTTTTTCAGTGTTCCCCTACCCCCCCCAACTGGAAATGGAGGGCAAATTGAGGCCTTCGGGTTGGGTTGGGGTGGTTTGGTGGGTGGTGACTCACAATCTGCTTCGCAGGCCAAAGATGTGCAGAGCGCCTGACACGAACTCACAATCCGGGCGGGAGCGGGCCCGCCCGAATACCCCCTGGCGGCTCCCCCCATCGGGGTGCTGAAGCGCGCGCGCATCGCTCGAGATGTTCCCACAGTCTGCGTGCGTGAGCGATAATGGGTCTGATGGAGGAAGTGATACAACAAAGCCTGCGTGTAAACGATGATGAGACATGATGGGTATGGATGATTATGGGTGTTGTTGTGAGTCTGAAAGATCAATTGATGTGAGTAAGTCTGCGTGGCAAGATGAGTGCGTCTGACTATGAGAAAAATATGACGAAGGACCTGAAGCGGCTGAGTCGGGATACGGGCAAAGCTGAGTATGAGTGAGCCTGAGTGTGAGTCGGTCTGGATATGACTGTCTCAGTATGAGTGGGCTTGAGTGTGATGGGTGAGTGCGAGTGAGAGTGTGTGTGGACAGGGAGAAGGAGGGGAGAAGGAGGAAGGTTGGGGAGGAGGGGTCGACGCGGAATGGGGAACAGCAGGGAGCCCATCTCAGGACGAAGGAAGCAAAAACCCCATGTCATGCAGGATATGGGAAACAACACGAACCTCATCCCAGCAAACCGCCTAACACATCCCTGCAATACGGGCGCGAACGGGCCGACGTCGTACCCTCTGTCGCTGTCCCTCCGGGGTAAGGGAGCCGGCGCTTTACTGGAGGCAGCCCCGCAGACTGCTCCGAAAACAGGGTGTGCTAGGCGCGGCAACGCGCCGAGCACGGACAGACACCTGCCGACCGCCCGAGACATCCCAGCAGCAGGAACGCGAGCGGGCGAGTGCCACGCCCTCCGGCGCGCCCGCGGCCAAATGCTGAAACTTGCGCCTCGCCCGAGACATCCCCGCGGACTGCTCGGGCAACCCGAGCAGGGGCCGACCGTCCCGGCATTCCTGTAGGCTTACCACGGCATGTTCTTGGAACCGAGAAGTGTTCAAGGAACAGGGACAAGGCCCTTAGAACACAAGCCCGACGTGTAAAAACAGGCAAGTCCCAGCCATAAGTGCTCTAAGAACATCTCGCGCAAACCACAACAGGCTCTCGGAAAACTGTTGTGTAGGCCTATAGGCAAGCCAAGACGTTTCGCCACTGCTTGGGTGAAACCAGCGTGGTTTCACGTGCGTGTACCTCCCTCTTCCGCTCCTGGTGTGGTCGAATCCCTTGATCGACTCTGGGGGGGGGGAGGAGGAGGAGGAGGAGGAGGAGGAGGAGGAGGAGGAGGAGGAGGAGGAGGAGGAGGAGGAGGAGGAGGAGGAGGAGGAGGCGGCGAGGACGATGATGATGACGAGGAGGAGGAGGAAAAAAAGGGGAGGAGGAAAAAGGGGAGGAGGGGGGGGAAGGAAAAGGAGGGGGAGGAGGGGGAGGAGGAAGAGGAGGAGGAGGAGGAGGAGGAGGAGAGGAGGAGGAGGAGGAGGAGGAGGAGGAGGAGGAGGAGGAGGAGGAGGAGGAGGGGAGGAGGAGGGAGGAGGAGGACGAGGAGGAGGAGGAGGAGGAGGAGGAGGAGGAGGAGGAAGGGGAGGACGAGGACGGGGAGGAGGAGGGGGGGGGGAGGGGGAGGGAGGAGGAGGAGGAGGAGGAGGAGGAGGAGGAGGGGAGAGGAGGAGGAGGAGGAGAGGAGGAGGAAGAGGAGGAGGAGGAGGAGGAGGAGGAGGAGGAGGAGGAGAAGGACGAGGTGGAGAAAGAGGAGGAGGAGGAGGAGGAGGAGGAGGAGGAGGAGGAGGAGGAGAGGAGGAGGGAGGAGGAGGAGGGAGGAGGAGGAGGAAAGGAGGAGGAGGAGGCGGAGGAGAGGAGGAGGAGGAAAAGGAGGAGGAGGAGGAGGAGGAGGAGGAGGAGGAGGAGGAAAAGGAAAAAGAGGAGGAGGAGGAGCACGCAAGACAAATCTTGGGCACGCGCATCCCCTTAAACCGAGCGCGCAAGGCGCGAGTGGTGCCATGCCCCCGCGGCGCTCCCCCCGTGGAGATGCTGGACGCCAGCGCTTCGCCCGATGGCAGCCAGCAGGCCCGCTCCGAGGGCAGGGCGTCGGGCACGCAGGCGGGCACGCCGCCCCAGACGGGGAGGAGGAACGCAGCGCCTCAGGAAGGTCTCCCGCCGCGCACGCGGGCGCGCGACGGACTACCTCCTGGCGCCGCCTACTCACGACACGGTTCCGTTCCGTAAGAGCAGGAGGCAATGTAAAAGGACAGCAGGAGGAGGAGGAGGAGGAGGAGGAGGAGGAGAAGGAAGAGGAGAGCCCTTGCCTGAGTCTGCGAGCCCGGAGGTCCTGAGTGCAAGCGTGCGAGTCCGAGTGGGGGTGGGTCTCTAAATGCGAGTGCGTCTGGGCATGAGCGAGTCTGAATATGAGTGGTCCTGACTGTGAGCGAGTCTGACTACGAATGAATATGAATATGAGTGAGTCTGAGTGTGAGTGAATATGAGTGTGAGCGACTCTGAGTGAGTCTGAGTGTGTGCAAGTCAGACAACGACTGGATCAGAGTCTGAACGAGTCTGCCTAATAACGAATATGAACAAGTCCGAGTGACTCTGAAAAAGAAGCGGAAGAGGAGGAGGAGGTATGGAATAAATCCCCGGAGCCGTGCGAACATGTTCCGACGCCAATCTTGAGATATGGCTGACACCTGGCCGTGTCTTGGCGGGGCACCCCCGCTTTCCCAGTCCCCCTTCCGTCCGGCCGGGCCGAGCCTTCTGCGCGCCGCCGCGCTATTGAAAAAAACCTCCGCCGCCTTCGCGCGGAAGCTCCGGCCCAATCTGTACAAGAGCGTCCGCCGGCCTCCCCTCTCGGGGCTGCCTGTCGGGCGGAGCCTTCCCAGGCAGCCCCCTCGGCGCACCCAGGCAACGAGGCTTCTCGACATGTGTGCAGCAGGGGAGAAAACGATGTACATATGCATCGTGATGTTGGTGAATATATATATATATATATATATATATATATGTGTGCCTGTGCGTGAGTATATATATATAGATATACGCACATTTGTGCTGGCAGGCGTGGGCATCGACCAGTGAGTTCTTGCACTGTCCAAATGCAAAGTATTCGGTGCAATGTGTGTGGCATAAGCTATATCGCGTAAGCAATGTGATGTGCGCTATGCGGGTGAAAGCTATGCGGTAAAATCCACCTCGCAGAACTTGAAGTCGCCAACTCCACTGCGCGCGCAATCATCCCACCCTCCGACGCGCAACTTGCCCTGCATATCCCCTGCGGCGACGATTGAAGTGACAACTGGGCATTGGGTGGCGCAACTCTACGGCTTCCCTAACGCGCGAACGCTCGCGCGCAAAACGGCCGGCTGGTTTGGCACAGCCGACGCAGCCTCGGCGCTTACCGATAGGAGCTTCCCACCGCGTCTCTAAGGCAGCGCTGGAGCGCGGGCACTTCAGCGCGGGTCGGTGATTAGGGCGGGCACGGTATCACGATGACGTCGGCAACGGAGGCACCGATGATGATAGTATCGATGGTGATGGCGATGATGACGATGACGACACCAAGGCACATTACGGCGTCGATGCTAGTGAGGACGGCGACGATGAAGATGTCCATGTGTCGGTGATGCAGGTGGTTGGCTGATAATTGCGGCAATGGGGGCGACTGGCGATGACGATGACGGCGGTGGAACGGTGGCGCCGATGCGGATGGTGGTGGGTAAGTGCGCGCGCGCACGGGAATGCAGGACACCTGACAGACTTCCGGCTGAAACACATGCGATGTTTTCCTCATGTGTGCCTGACGAGCTCGATCTTGAAATGCTTCGGAAACCAGTGGGTCTCTTGGAGGACTGTGAACACGGGCGCGCGCGGCGGCGCGCGCGTGTGGCCCCCATGGTATTGATGGACCACATCGGGCAAGAACGGGAAGCGCCGATGCTGGCCAGTGGGCTCGCTGGGGAGAGAGAAGACAAGGACGATGGCGTCGACAAGGCGGCGTGTGCCAAGGATGGCAGCGTGAACAACGGGGAGGGCAGCGAGGGGGGCAGAAGGACAACGAGTAGGACGACAAGCACGAGGACGAGGAATATATGTTGGAGCCCGAATAGCGAGGAGGAACGAAACAGAGGAGGAGAAGGAGGAGGAGCGCGACCGACTGGATCGTCCAAGATTGTCCAAGGTGACTCCAAGGGGGCCCAGAGAGCTCAAGATGACCTCCAAGATGGCTTACGACATCACAATTGGCTGAATATGGCCTCCACGAAGCCTAGAGAGCGCTCCAAGACAGCCTCAAGTGGCCACGGAGCTTTCCATGAACGTCCCCGAGATGCCGAAACCCATGCAACCAAACCATGGCGCTCACTGCCTCGCCTTTTCGCGTCCGATGTGTTTTGAATGTCTCGGGATGGCTCCAGGATGGCCCAACAGGCCCCAAGAGAGGGGCCCAGCATGGCTCCAAGACGACCCGAATAGCACACAAGAGCGCCCCAAGAGGGCTCAAAGAAGCGACGGTGGAGGCTCCAAGGCGCCAATTAGCAACCCACTCTGCTTTAAGCCAGGGTCATTGAACATCATAGTTGCGTTTCAAGCATATCGGCATCTCGGGGGCATCCTTGGGAGGCTTTTGGGCCATGGCTCCAAGACGGCGTCAGCAAACTGAACATGGCCTCCAAGATCCTCCAACATGGAGACCACTATGCCTCCAAGAGGCCAAAGGACAACCCCAAGACGGCCCAAAATGGCCAGGGAGCCTCCCAAGGAGGCCCCCGAGAGGCCCACTACGTTCCAAACACAAATTATTGTGTTATGCTTGTGGCATTTTCGCTTTACATGGGCATCCGAGGCATCAAGGCGGATACAAGATGGCCCCAAGAGGGGCCCAAGAGGGCTCCAAAACGACCCCAACAGCGCCCCAAGAGACTACTCTTGGGACTCTAGATGAGCAGCGATAATGCAAGAGCCATCCTTTCTCATCGGTGGCCTCAAAGATAGCTCCAAGAGGGACCCCAAGGCTCCCAATAGGGCCCCAAGACAGCCCCGAGAAAAGGGCCCCAAGAGGGTCCCCCAAGGCCTCCAACACGGCGCCAACATGGCAGAAACAACTGCCAACATGCTCAGATATCGAAAGATCCGCGAAGGCATTCCTGCTTGACTCCTGGGCCTACTCAGGCTGATCCCGATCTTCGTCTTGAAGGCTGCTCCGAATACTTGTTCCAGTGAACGGTCCCACACTTCCCTGATCAATGCAACTCACCTGGGCGTCGTTGCTGGATGGGCTGATGGGGATACACGAAGCGTCCACAGTTCATCTCTACGACAGGATTTGATCACCGATTTCAACACTATGCTTCAAATTGGGCCGCGCACTCCAAAAAGGCGAACCCCCTCTCGCTGGAGACTTCTGCGGAGAACGCTCTCGCAAATGTCGGGAGGGTCGTGACGGGTGCTGTGTGGTTGTTCGGTGGGGGCTGCTCAAGGCCGATATTCCTGGAAACTTTCCTGGGAGCATCGATGGAGGCGAGATAGAGAACTCCGGAGGAGACGGAGGGAAACTCTGAAGGGAGTCTGTTCGGAGGTCGTTGTGCGTTCGTTTTTGTTCACCTCTCGGGCGATGCTGGAAGAAGTCGAAAATCGGATGGGAATGACAGCGCCAAGAAAAACGTGTATTCCGAAGGGGTCCCAGCGGCGTGGCCGATATTCGGTCCACGGAGGCGACCGAGGTGGCCGAGAACCAGCAATAGGAGAACGAATAATGACAAAACATAAAAACTCTGAGGTCCGCGCGGATTTCTCGGATCGGCGCTGGACCCCCCTCCCTGGCGCGCTCCGCGCGCCAGGGGCGGCCTGGAGGCGCCGCTGGGAGGGTCCAGCGCGGATCCGAGAAGTCCGCGCGGACCTCCGAGTTTTTATGTTTATGTCAGTCTTCTTTCCTCTGGAGGTGGCCGAACACCAGCACTGGCCCGGGGATGGGGCGGAGAGAGGGTGGACTTCCGGACCAGGAGGAGGAGGAGGAGGAGGAGGAGGAGGAGGAGGAAGAGGAGGAGGAGGAGGAGGAGGAGGAGGAGGAGGAGGAGGAGGGGGAGGAGGTGGAGAAGGAGGAGGGGGAGAGGGGGAGGGGAGGAGGAGGAGGAGGAGGAGGAGGAGGAAGAGGAGGAGGAAGAGGAGAGGGAGGAGGAGAGCGAGCCGGGAGGTCGCCCAGCAGCCCCTGATATCGCCGCTCCTGGGCTGTGGCGGGGCCCTTACGGGTAGCACATCTCGGCCTCGCGCTCTGGGATGGCTCCCGCGGGGGCCCCCAAACGGGGTGGTGACGACGCCGTGTGGTGAGTCGGTGGGGATTCGCAGTCATCGGCGGTGGACAAACCTCCCTTTAGTAAACCTCCCTTTAGTGCAAACGGCCTGGGACCGAAACCGATGGACCTGGACCCGCAAAAATGACGGCCGCGACGCCCTCTCGCGAACCGAAAACGGTCAATTCGCTCATCGACGTGTCAGGAGGGTAGGAGGTCCATCCACCTCCGAAGTCACCGCGCGGTTTTGGGACTCGAGTTCCTCTCCTGACTACCTACCAGACCACCCCAACCCAACCCGAAGACCCGAATTTCGGGTTGGGGGGGGTAAGGGTTCCACGCGTGTTTTTTCGATGTTTCCCGACCCCCCCCCCACTAGAAATCGAGGGTAAATCTGAGCCTTCGGGTTGGGTTGGGGTGGTTTGGTGGGTGGTGATCTCCGAAGATGTCTCGGGCGACCGGGGCCTCCAGGGTCCCAGGATCGTGCGGTGACGGACCGTGCGGTGAGGTCTCTTGGGGCCCCGAGGTCACCGCACGGCCTGTCACCACACGATGTTCTAGTGGCTCCCAACTTCGCGCTTCGCGCTCCGCGCAGCGCGAATAACTTCGCGCTCTCGCGCCGCCCCCCCCCAAAAGGAGAACAGGAGGACGAGGAGGAGGGAGAGAAGGCACGAGGACCGCGAGGCGCGAAGCACTTCGCGCCCTCGTGGGAGCCCTTTGGTTCTGGGATGCCGGCTCTCCGGGCCGTCCTGCTGGCCTGTCCCGGGGGGGGGGGGGAGGCCCTATACAGTCGGGGCGTTGACCTAAGGAACCCCAAATAAGGAACGAGGCCCCTTTTTTCCATAAGTTAACCTTCGATTCCCTGCCGAAAACATCAGAAAAGCCTGAGGCAAGCTGCGAAACACTTGAGGAACGCAGAGCCCCTCCCCAACGAGAAGGGTTCCTTCTTCAGGGCCCCGGCTGTAAGGCTTGTAAGAGAGATCCCTGGGAGGGGCCCCGGGAGCACAGCGGGAGCCGCGCCTCCAAGACGGCCAGCTCCCGCTGGGCCTCTCCCGGAAGAGGGCCCTCCGCGCGCCTCCGAGGCGCGCCCCCGGAGGGCCTCGCGAGAGGCCCACGGGCCGCCGAAGGCCCTGCGACGGCCCCACGACCACCCCTCATACAGTCGGGGCGCGGAAGAAGGAACCCTTCTCGTGGGGGAGGGGCTCCGTGTTCCCTGATTGTTTCACAGCTTGCCGTAGGCGTTCCTTGGGTTTTCGATGGGAGATCGAACTTCAGCTGATTTGAAAAAGGGGGGTCTCGTTCCTGATTTAGGGTTCCCTAGGTCAACGCCTCGACTGTACGGCCAAGAGCGCCCAAAGACGGCCCGAGCGAGCCCCGAGACGGTCCAAGAGGGCCTCGGAGACGGCCCAGGGGAGCCCCAAAACGGCCCCAAGGGATCCGATGCTGCCCTACAGGAGGCCAGGACAAGCCCAAGACGGCCCAAACGAGCTCCGTGAGAGCTCCTCAGGGAGTGAAGACTGCTAGTGTCACGTGTGACGGCCTTCCTCTTACTCCTCCTCCGCCTCCTCCTCATCCTCCTCCTCGTCATCATCCTCATCATCCTCATCACGGCGCTACGACGCTTGTGGACACGAGATGTCAGACGTGACGGCCTCCCGTGCCCGCTCGAGCAGCCGCCAACCAGAATGCTGGGCTGGCACGTGGTGGGACTGCCGCAGGCCCAAGCAATGAACTAAGTATGCTGGATCCTCCACTAGCGTAACATGTGTAAACTGATATCTGTATACGTACTGTGTTGTATGGCATGCGCGCGTGTGCGAAGTCAACGGACAGAAACAACGCATATATAATGTAAATACCGGGGGCGAGAGAGAGAGATACATATAGGAAGAACATGAACAACAAAAGTGTGTGAGAGAGAGAGAGAGAAACAACACGAACGACAGAGGAAAGGAAATGCGCAGAGAAAGGGGGAGAGAGAGAGAGAGAGAAAGAAATGGAGTCATAGAATAGAGACATATGTCGAGAGGATGCCTTTAAGCGGAACGCGCAAGGAGCGGCTGACAAATGCTGGGGCCTCTTCGTGCCATGAGTGAGTGCACTCGCGTCACTTCTTGTCCTTGTCGCCCTCCTGCCGATGCAGAGGTCAACCCATCGATGCAACGAATTCATGCCCCGCTCCGACAACTCCTCGTATATGCAAGGCATGGGCTCCACCACTTGCTGCTCCTCCTCCTTCTCCTCCTCCTCCTCCTCCTAATCTTTCTCAAACGTTCCTCATCGCCTTCAGCATGCGCACGTGCTACGAAACGATCAGCATCAAGCTTCATCAACGCTACAGCGCAAGGAGTCGGTCAGGTTACAGATGTTCGGTGCCCACACTCACAAACGGCATCCTGCATCAGTGGTGGCCAGCGACTGGCGTCCAGTGCGCGAACGCGCAGCACGCCTTGGCGCACGCACATCTTCTGGGGACCTGGTGGCCACGAACGGATGACGCAAGGAAGCTAGATTTAGGACGGGCATGTCCCGCAACAGGCAGATCTTGGACGACGGATAAACGACATTCAGCAAGTGCTCAAAACTATCTAGAAATAATGAACCAATCGTCCACGGCTAATGTTTCACTAATTTTGAACATTCCTCCTGTAGAGGGACAGGCCCGACTTACAGCCAGGCCTCATCAAGAGCGAGGCCTTGCACCGCACCGCTGCGCGCGCACCCGGGCGGCGCGCAGACGGGGGCACGGGAGGGGGAAGGCGCCGCCGCTTCTCGGAAGGCGCCGGCGCCACGTCTACGGACGAGGCCCGCGCCTCCTGAGACGCAGGGGGGGCGTGCAAGAGAGGCCTTCCCCCCCTCCCCCCCAAATGTAGGGGAGCGGAGAAAGGACGTACACATGGCAACTCGGGAGTCCGCGCGGATGTCTGGGATCCGCGCGGACCCCCCTCCTTGGCGCGCCGATCCGAGAAGTGCGCGCGGACCTCCGAGTTCTTATGCGTGTGTCATCCTTCGTTCTTCTATGATTGCCCCCTGGCGCCGCCTGCTCACGACACGGTGCCGTAAAAGCAGGAGGCAATGTAGAAGGAGAGCAGGAGGAGGAGGAGGAGGAGGAGGAGGAGGAGGAGGAGGAGAGCCCTTGCATGAGTCTGCGAGCCCGGAGATCCTGAGTGCATGCGTGCGAGTCCGAGCGGGAGGGGGTTTCTAAGTGCGAGTGCGTCAGGGCATGAGCAAGTCTGAGTATGAGTGGTCCTGAGTGTGAGCGAGTCTGACTACGAATGAGTCTGAGTATGAGTGAGTCTGTGTGTGAGTGAATCTGAGTGTGAGCGACTCTGAGTGAGTCTGAGTGTGAGCAGGTCAGACTACGACTGAATCAGAGTCTGAGCGAGCCTGCGGAAGAACGAATATGAACAAGTCCGAGTGACTCTGAAAAAGAAGCGGAAGAGGACGAGGGTGAGGTACGGATGAGATCCTCGGAGCCGTGTGCAATTGTTCAAAAGCCCATCTTCGGCGGTGGACAAACCTCCCTTTAGTAAACCTCCCCTTGGTGACAACGGCCTAGGACCGAAACCGACGGACCTGGACCCGCAAAAATGACGGCCGCGACGCCCTCTCGCGAATCGAAAACGGACAATCTCTTAATCGACGCGTCAGGGTAGGAGGTCTGTCCACCCCCGAAGGAGGGGCAGGAGGGAGAGGGAGGATGGGGAGGGAGGAGGAGGGGGAGGAGGAGGAGGAGGGGAGGATGGGGAGGAGGAGGAGGAGGAGGGGGAGGAGGGGGCGGAGGAGGCGCAGGAGGAGGAGGGGGAGGCGCAGGAGGAGGAGGGGGAGGCCCCGAGCGTGGCCGAGCACTGAGGCGACCTGGCACTCGCATGCTCTTCTGGACGGGGGGGGGCACCACAGGCCACGCCCGGTGCGCGCCGAGGCTCCCGGCCGGCCGGCCGGCGGCCCCACGGGGGCAACGCGGGTGGGCCGGGGCCCAGGCACTGCACGTGCTGGCGGGAGGCGTGGTGCTAACCTAGTAGGAAGGCACCAACTATACACCAACACCGATCCTGGCCAGGATCACCCTGGGCCCAGGATCGGCGTATACGCCCTCCTGCCTTGGGCAAGAAGGCATATACACCGATCATGGGCCCAGGGTGATCCTGGGCCAGGATCGGTGTTGGTGTATAGTTGGTGCCCTCCGACCTAGGGTCACGGAGGATGACATGCATAGAAACTCGGAGGTCCGCGCGGATTTCTCGGATCGGCGCTGGGGCCCCCTGGCGGAGCCTCCAGGCCGCGGCCCCTGGCGCGCTCCGCGCGCCAGGGAGGGGGGCCCAGCACGGATCCAAGGAATCCGCGCGGACCTCCGACTGACTATGCTTATGTCATTCTTCGTTCCCCTAGAGGTGGCCGAAAACCAGCACTGGCCCGGGATGGGGGAGAGAGGGTGGACGAGCCGGAGGACGGAGGATGCGGAGGAAGGAGGATTTTCCGTTCCCCTATAACAGTCCCAAAACATCTGTTCGCAAACATATTCCCGTTCATATCGGAGTCTTTGAAGGGGGCGCATCGCCAGCCTTCAACAGGAACTCACGCATCCCACTTGCCGATCGATGACGGCCGCCAGGTCGCCATCACGCAAGAGGAGGCCACCTTCCACCTGCAGCCTTCGCAGCAGCGTCAGCCAAGCGGCCGATAACATCCAGGAACGCTTCGCCTCAGCGAGACCGGGCTCGTGCAAGCACTGATGCGCTCTAACTGGTGCATCGTCCTCGGGAAGCACGACTCCTGTGACCGACGATCACTTTCTGGAAGGACGCCTGCTCTGCTACCTTCGCTAAAAGTTTGCGTCGGACAGCATTAGCGCAATCACAGTGCCCTTTCGACGGCATTCACCCGCATCATCCCGAACATTCAGCAGATTTGGTGGTGTTTGCTGGACAAGGCATGAACTGGGTCACGCAATTCGCGCGTCCGCTGCTCTTCCTTACATGCGTGCCAAAACTACTCATCACGGCAGATGTCTCAGATGTCGCACCTGAAACTGAGTCCGTTAAATCATATTTATATATATATATATATATATAACTATGTCTATGTATACATGTACACTTTCATACATCTATACACACGTATACACCTCTTGTATATCATCAAGAGAACACCCAACATCCAGGAACCCTTCGGACAGAGGAGCGGCATATTGGTCTTCAGGGTGAGGCGACCCGCCCTGCGTCAAAACGACAAGTAGGTCGCGGGGTGCCATTCTCGAATCAATCTCGTCGAGGGCTTCCTGGCCTGCAACGTCACACCTCTCCTGGGCCCGACGAGGTGATTTCCATGTACGGTAATCGGAGGGAGGGGCAGGAAAAGAAGTGAAACGGGGAGCGGAATAGGAAGGATACTAAACAGGTGAATTATGATGGTGGCAGAAACACATAACGAGGCACAGGACAGATATGCAGGTAGGTGTAGGGGATACCAGGGGGGAACACGCACAGGAAGAAGAGATGAGATGGAAGGGACGGGAACGAACGGCATTATACAACATAGGAGGCCGAACTTCACCTTTCCAACGCCCTCCCAACTCCAAGAAATTCAGAGCGTTCTTGAGGACGGTCTTCGTGATGTCACCGAACTTGTACTCCTGTGCCCGAGGGTCTCACTAAACTGATACACGAACGGCCCTCCTTTTTCCCCGTGTGCTCACCATGGTTGTCCAAAGCCTGCCCTGGATCACAGATCGACCGCATAGTTCGGATGATCGGACAATCAAGCCGACCAGGTCGAACCTCACTCGTGAAGGAAGGGAGTCAACCCAGAGATGGCGTGGTCGAATCGATCGGTGCCTCCTGGCGACGTCGGCGTGCATGATCGAATCGAGCCACTGCCGAAAAACTGCCCCCGTTCGGCGGCGCGCCCAGGATGGAGGGCAGAGGGGGCGGGCGGCCTCGGAAGGCTCACAAGGCCTCGAGCCCTCGCTCCCGCACCGGAAATCGATGGACGCCCTGGGGTCTCGGGGTTGGGATTCTCGTGGAAGGCTTCTTGTGGTCGAGCTCCTGCTGCATCGCAGAGATGAGGGGCAACGATAGGAGGGGGACTGGCATAGGGGGGGATGCATCGACCTGGCATGGGCGATGCGTCGTCGATAGATCGGCGACAGGCCCCCCATAGTGAATCCGCACCTGGGCAGGTTGGGGCCATCGGGCCCCCATCGGCGATCAGTGGGCGATTCGGGGCCGATGCATCCCCCCCTATGTCTATCCCCCCCTATCGTTGCCCCTGGAAAGAGGGAGGAAAAGGGGGGACGGAGGAGAAGGGAGGAGGACGAGGGGGAGGCTGGAGGAGGAGGACAAGGAGCAGGAGGAAGAGGAGGAAAAGGAGGACGGAAGGAGGGAGGGAGGGAGGGAGGGAGGGAGGGGAGGAGGGAGGGAGGGAGGGAGGAGGGAGGGAGGAGAGGAGGAGGAGGAGGAGGAGGAGGAGGAGGAGGAGGAGGAGGGGAGGAGGAGGAGGAGGCGGAGGAGGAAAAGGAGGAGGAGGAGGAAAAACTGCCCCCCAGCGAATACGGATTCCTCCCTCGCCCTCGCGAGCGGGCTCCGGGAGCTGGCGGCGCGGCCGCGCGCGGAGCCGCGGGACGCGCTGGGCGGGGGCGGGCGGCGCTGCCCCCTCGGGCGGGGCACGCAGCCCTCCACAGAAGGAGGCCGAATGGGTTTCTGAGCTCCCGCGCCGCCTCCGGAGAAGCCCTGCCCCCTCCCGGGCGCCTGGTGGCCTCTTAGAGGCCCCCTAGATGGATCCTCCTCCTCCTCCTCCTCCTCCTCCTCTTTCTCCTCCTCCTCCCCCTCCTCCTCATCCTCCTCCTTCTCCTCCTTTTCCTCCTCCTCCGCCTCCTCCTCCTGCTCCTCCTCCACCCGTGATAGAGGCTTCTTGGATGGGGTCGGAGTAGATGGGGTCGGAGGATCGCGCCGCGTCGCCGCGTGTGGTTTTTTAGAGGCCTCCGCGGCATCCGCCGCAGCTCGGGCACGCCCTCCCGCAGGCGGATGTTGAGGGAAAGCTGGCAACATAGTAGGGCAGAGCCAACAGATGCTCAAACATACTCGAAGCGTCGTCCCTGGACTATTTGTTTGGCTATGTTTGGATATTCTTTGCTGCAGGGGGACATGCCCGACTTCACGTCAGCCCGCCGCGCAGCTGCCCCTGAACCGCTTCAAGCGACAAGGCGGCTCTGCGAACCTTTCGTCTGGGAGGAAAGACATGAAGCAAGAGGCGCCCGTGTCATCCTCTTCATGATGTTCCTCCTGCTCCTTCTCCATCCCCCAATCTCATCATATTTCCCTCGCGCCTCTCTCCCTATGCCTCTTCCTGCCCTCCGTCGGTCCTGCGCGAGAGGGCGCGCCAAAATGCGCGGCGGGGCGCGCGGCGCGAACGGAGACGATCGGTCTGCGAGCGAGAGACTGCGGGCGGGCGAGTGCGAGCGCGAGTAAGTCTGATCGTGAGTGAATATGCGCGCGCGTGAAATCACCCGCATATGTGTTGACGCCCGCATCGGCGCGCCACTCGCGAAGGTCGCGCCCGCTTCCTCCCCGTTCTTCGCCCCCCGTCGTTGCCCGCGAGCGTCCGCGCGCGCGGCTGCGGGCGCGGCGCCGCGCAGAGCCCCCGCGACGCGTTAGAGGGCCGGCTGATAGCGGGCAAGTCTCTGGCCGCCGGGCAGAACGACGACGGGGGCGCGGAGTTTCGGCGACGCGCGCCGGTCGCCCCGAGAGGGCCCCAGCGACGCGCGCGGGTCGCCCGCGGCGCGAGGCCAAACAGTCAGACCGTCGAGAGATGGCGAGACTCGGGCGGGTCGCTCCTCAGGTCAAGCCTCGCGGATAAACTCGGCGAAGCCCAGCTCCCTGGCGAGGGCCGTCGCGTCGCCTCCCTGCTGCGCCGCTTCGTGCGCGAAGCAAACTGCTCCAGCTGCTTCCGCAAGCCCTCCGGCGGCCCTTCCAGGAGGAACTCGTTGCGCGACGCCCGCATGAGCAGGTCCTCGTGGAGCGTGGCGTGCGAGAGAATCACGTAGAGCTCCAGCCACCAGTCGTCGTCTTCCTTCTTGCCGTTCCCGACCTCGTGGCGGCCGCAGTCCTGGATCACGCCTGGGCGATGTCGGCCGAAAGAGCAGTGCGCCAGATAACCGACGGTCCAGGGCGAGAGCCCGCGGGACCGAAATACATAAGGCGGCGGGGCCACGCGGACTGCGACACTGTAACTTAGTTGGGGCCCCCTATGAGGCCACGAAGCGTGTGAGGAGTCTGCCAAAATGGGGCGGCGCCGCCATGCAAACTCACCACTGCAACTTAGTTGGAGCTCCCTATGAGGCCACGGAGCGTGTGAGGGGTGTGCCACAATGGGGCGGCGCCGCCATGCGAGCTGCGCCACTGGGACCTTAGTTGGTACTCCCTATGGGGCCACGAAGCGTGTGAGGGGTGTGTCTCAATGGGGCGGCGCCGCCACGCGAGCCGTGCCACTGGGACCTTAGTTGGCGCTCTCTATCGGGCCACGAAGCGCGTGATGTGTGTGTGTGCCAAAATGGGGCGGCGCCGCCATGCGAGCTGCGCCACTGGGACCTTAGTTGGCACTCGCTATGGGGCCACGAAGCGTGTGAGGGTTGCGACAAAATGAGGCGGCGCCACATTGCGAGCTGCGCCACTGGGACCTTCGGGAGAGCGCTCTATGAGGCCACGACGCGTGTGAGGGGTGTGCCACAATGGGGCGGCGCCGCCATGCGAGCTGCGCCATTGGGACCTTAGTTGGAGCTCCCTATGGGGCTACGACGCGTTTGATGGGGTGTGCCACAATTGGGCGGCGCCGCCATGCGAGCTGCGCCACTGGGGCCTTAAGCAGAACTTCCCATGGGGCCACGAAGCGTGTGATGGGGTGTGCCACAATATGGCGGCGCCGCCATGCGAGCTGCGCCACTGGGGCCTTAGTTGGCGCTCCCTATGAGGCCACGAAGCGTGTGAGGGGTGTGCCACAATGGGGCGGCGCCGCCGTGCGAGCTGCACCACTGGGACCTTAGTTCGCACTCCCTATGGGGCCACGAAGCGTGTGAGGGGTTTGCCGAAACAGAGACGCGCGGAGAGCAAAAGCAACAAGGGGGAGGAGGGACGAGGGGGAGGAGGTGGAGGAGGGAGGAGGAGGAGTTGGACGCGGGGCGTTGTCTTTTCAAAACAAGGACCCAACACCACAGGACTGTTGAGAAATGGTAAAAAAATGTCCACTTAACTGTTTAAGCAATTCTTGAACATTCCTCCTGTGAAAAGACACGCCCGACCTAATCACAGCCCTTCGGCGTCGTGAATTTCTCGCGGAGCGAACCTGCACAAGTTTAGACAACTTCCACGGGACTGCCTCGCCATCCCGAGTCGTTTTTGACGGCCTTGGGGCCCGGCCAGGCCCATCAGAAGGCCGAAACCATTGGAGACCCTCCCTTCACGATTCTTGTACGACGCGAGGACCGTCGACGCCCTGGGGCCACATCGGGCGGATCAGCGCATGCGGCGGGGGTCAATTGCTTGACCCGGGCGGCGCGCCGGAGGGGGGCCCCCGCCGTCCTCCTTGCCCGTGAACGACGTGATGCCCTCCATGACCTTGGAGGCCGCGGCCTTGGAGATGTCGCCGAACTTGTACTCCTCCTGCAGGAGCAGGGGCGCTGTGCACATACGCCGATGCCGGCCAGGCCCTCCCTGGGCCCAGGATCGGTGCATGCGCCATCCTGGCTTGGCCAGGGAAGCACACACACACACTGGTCCTGGGCCCAGGAAGGGCCTGGCAAGGGTCGGTGGGGGTGTGCAAAACATTCTCTTCGCCCGATCCTTGCCGAGAATGCTCGCAATGGCCTGCGTGAAGACAAAATGCAGCCATTTGGACGCCCGAAATGGGTGCGGGAAAAAATGGGCACAATGCCCACCAACACACTCTGTCCGAAAACCGCAGGGGCCGCTGTTGGGCAGGCGGCTTGCTGCCTTCGGTGAACCACGTCCGCGGCGCGGACAGCGAGCCCTGTTCAACACGAGCAGGAACTGCTGTTGGGCATCGTGCCCCACCTGTCCGTACCTTGCCGTCGCTCGGGCGTCCACTTCCCGTGTATTTTTTTGGTTTCGTGCGTATTTTTTTTTGGCTCGATGGTCCAGGATGGTCCTCGATGGCTCTCGCCGAGAAGAAGAACAAAACACGTCCGAGCGATTCGGGGATGGACAGACCCCCCTTAGTAAAACGTGGTTTAGTGAAAACGACCTGAGGCCCAAACCTGGCGGTCGCAAGCCTGGAAAATAGCGGCCACGGCGCCCTCTCGAAAACCGAAAACGGACAATTCACTAATCGACGTGTCACTGTTGGGGGTTCTGTCCACCCCCGAGCGATGCCAAGGTACCCTCTCGATCGCACCGAAAAACCACAGGCCCACCCGAGACGCACGCGTGACGACGCCGGGCCCCGAGGAGGACCACCCCCGGGGAGTCTCTCTCTCCTCGGGAGCCGGCGGGCCTGGCGGAGAGGCCCCCCCGGCGCTGGCTGCGGCCCCTTGCGAGGCAGTCCCTCGGCGAGCGCCTCGGGGCGCCCCGGAAGGATTGGTCCTCGTCTCGGACCTGGCTGGCCTTCGCCGCCGTCTCGCTCCTCCGACCAATGCGAGTGCATCCGGCGCGGTGCGGCCCTTCCGAGGCAGTCGCTCGGCGAGCGTCTCGGAGCGCCCTGGAAGGATTGGTCCTCGTCTCGGACCTGGCCGGCTTTCGCCGCCGTCTCGCGCCTCCGACAGATGCGAGTGCCTCCGGCGCGGTGCGGCCCTTCCGAGGCAGTCGCTCGGCGAGCGCCTCGGGGCGCCCTGGAAGGATTGGTCCTCGTCTCGGACCTGGCCGGCTTTCGCCGCCGTCTCGTGGCGCAACGGCAGCGCGTCTGACTCCAGATCAGAAGGTTGGGAGCTCGAATCTCTCTGCCCTCATGTTGTTTGCTGGCAGGGCGGGCAGCGCGCCGAGTGCTGGCCGCACCGCAGTCGAGGCGGCGCCCCCACGCGGCGACAAATGCGAGGGCAGCGTTTCTGCCGTCGAATTGCCGCTCCAGAGATGCGAGGACCCCCGCTGGGCGGACGCATCTGGTGACGACTACCTGGAGGCACCAAGAAGCGCCCAGAGGACATCCAGAGCGGGCCCCAGGACACCCCAAGAGTCTCCCCGTATGGCCCAGGACCGTCCCAAGACCACTCCCAATCCCCAAGAGAGTCCAAGGACCTCCCAGGATCTCTCCGAAAACATCTTGGGCGCTCCATGGGCGCCCTGGAGTCCTACGACTCTGGTACAACGGGCGAACACGACTATCCCCTATGTCCCAAACGTGCACTCCGGAAGTGTACTTTGAAGAATATGCACAAGCCGCCACCTTGGCTTCAGCGCAAGCGCTGGGATCGGCGCGGGGGGGGGCTCATCCGTGGGTGTCAAGGTGGGCTGCCATGTTTCCACCCTGAAATGATAGGTGGGCTGCAACTGCGCCGACTTGCTGACGGGGGACAGCGATCCGGGCCGAGTGGGCTCCGCCTACCTGGCAGACGCATCTAGCCCCCCCATCAGCCGCTCGGAGCACCCCTGACCCACCTGCTCTCCCGAGCCCCCCCCCCCCCTGCGCGGCCGCCCTCGCCCCTGACCCCCAGAGACAGAACGGAGTCCCACCGCATGCCCGGGCGTCATGAGATCTGGCAACGGACCGCGCACATCGGGCGTCCGTGCGGGCAGGGGCAGCTCGAGCGGCCCACGCACTAGACCCCCAAAACACGGTGGCTGATGCACGCGGCAGCGCGACTCGACAACACATGCCTATACCGTGCGCCACGTATCGTGACCCATCGCACGTGGGAGGGGACAGCTTGCCATACCGATGCATTCCATGGCTAGAGCATGCCAAGCCCTGCCGCCTGTTTGGCGCGCTGGTCAGCTTCTTTGGAGATGTCGCCGAACTCGTACGTGTCCTTTCCGGTGAAGGCAAGCACAGCTCCTTCCCTGGAATCTCTAGCCAAAACCCGATATCTGGCCACAATCGTCGACGGCAAAAACAATACTGGCCTACTCATCTGATGTCAGATTCAGACATGCCCCCATCTCCAATAGGAGCACTGTCGACTGACCGATGTCTCGTGCGCTAAGAGATGTCGAACAACTGGCCGACGATGATTCTGAGGTCGACTGGCCACCCTCAAGGCCAACGATGGATACGGAACCAACCGAAGAACCATACCGCAAACAAACAAAACACACAATCGCCGACCCCTTGGAGTCACTTGGCGTGTAAGACTGCTGCCCGGCCCCAGACACTTCCCAGAGAAGCTCGGTCGGGGTGGTTTGGAAGAAGGGGGGGAACATCGGGGACCTGCTAACCCGGGTCAATCAGACCCGGGTCAACAGGAACCCCTAAAAACTGAAATGCACGACAAACAAAAACACTGCGAGGCAGGGCTTCGCAAACCCCGGTCAGCCAAGATGCGCGGCCACCTCCCAGCCACGAGCGGCTCGCCGACCCGAGTCATCCACAGGGGGCCTTCGCAGGATCCTGAAGGATCCGGTGCCCTGGCTGACCCCCGTCTGCATTGAGCCCCGTCTCTGGAGCCCCGCCGGCCACCCACGAGCGGCTCGCTGACCTGGGCCAGCCAGAGGGGGCCTTCGCAGGATCCTGCAGGATCCAGTGCCCTGGCTGACCCCCGTCTGCATTGAGCCCCGCCTCTTGAGCCCCGAGGACAACTGACTACCTACCAGACCACCCCAGCCCAACCCGAGGACTCGATTTTCGGGTTGGGGGGTGGGTGCGGGTTCCATATGTGTGTTTTCTCGATGTTCCACGACCCCCCCACTGGAAATCGAGAATAAGTTGGGGCCTTCGGGTTGGGTTGGGGTGGTTTGGCGGGTGGTGGACAGCAGTGACGGCGGTGCCCGCGGCCCTGGCCGCCCCTCGGCCAGCTCCCAGGAAGGCGTCGACGGCTTCGGCAGGGCGTCCGCAGCCTCCCGCTCGTCTCGCCGTGTTCTCCGCGGGAGCCCCACGTGGCCCCCAAGAGGTCCCGATCCGGTCTCAGAGAGCAGCTCTGGAAACCTCGAAGGTGTCTTCAGAAAGTTTTGGGAAGACCCGAACGAGGCCCCGACAAGCAAACAACCTCCCATTTACTGAGAACGCAACTGTTCTGCACATTCTTTTCTCGCTTTTTTGTCCGAGCGTCCTGGACTGCCTCAGAGGCCTTCAAGATCGACCCAAAACGGGCCAAGAAACCCTAGATGTCTTCAGACGGCCCAGGGACGGCCGAAGAGGCACCCAAGACAGCCCAAGAGGACCCCAAAAGGAGCCCAATACAGCCTAAGAAGCCCCCAAGACGGCCCAAGAAGGACCCAAGACAGCCCAAAACAAATTGGCCCCAAGACTGCCCAGGCGGCGCCTAAGACGGCCCAGGAGGACCCCAAGAGGCCCCCAAGAGGCCTAAACGAGTCCCCTGGAGGCTCCAAAATGGCCCCCAGGCGGCTTCAACCTGCCTCCAAGAGAGGGGACTGAACGAGAGGCGAGAGACACCTCGCAGGCGTAAAAGAGCAATGTTTCACGCTCTCAGGGCCCTGGATGGCCGTCTTCTGGGCGGCGTTGTCCTAGGAACGACGATTGACGATCGAAGATGGATGGGAGAACACGATGACGCCAGTGTCAGGGGGCACACGACAACAAAAAACAACGAGCTAACCTGAGGAGTCGGAGAGCCGAGGGGTGGGAGTGCGGAAGGAGGGAAGAGAAGGAGGCGCAGAAAGAGGACGAAGATCATAATAACAATACTTCAACTAGCAATGCGTCAGATGGCTTCCGGTGATCAACTATTCTTTCGGCATCCCCAGGCCCCAAGGGGTCGGCGGTGTGGCGTAAGCCAGTGAATCAACACCATGTGCAACTGGTCTGCGACGGGCAATCGCAACGGGGCAACTTCTGCGCACAGTCTAAACATTTACCGCGCTTGAACTCACAGCGTGCTCTGTTGCATGTTTGTGTGCTTAAGTACGTTGGGCATGTTCTCTATACTTGATACATACGAATGCAGACTAGTGAATGATAGCTCTGTGTGTCCATTACATGTGCCACTCATATATGGTATTATGCTCTGTACCAAGTATGTATGGACGCTCGTTGCGTCGAGGATGTCTGCCCTTGATGAATGAGGTTGGTGTGTCGTGAACCCCTTTGGGAGTCAGTGAGATAGGCTGTTGATGCCTGTTTGTGCTCATGCGAATGGTGCACATTCTGGATGTATGCCCTAGCTGTGGGTATACGTTGTCGGGTACTGATGCGTGGTATTGGTATGTGATCGTAGCGTTTGTCATCGCTATATGGCGGCGGTGTATGTCACATTACGGTATTGAATAACGTGATTGATGAATGTAGTTCTATGGCATGTGCGCAGGCAGCTTGGATAGGTAACTGGCGTATGTGTTGGCTGCTTGCTTCGATGCCTGCTCGTGATACAACGTGTGTGGGTATAGTTAACTACGTCATGTGTGCATATTTGGTTCCCTATGCTTGTGCATTGCTTGTGGCTGGCGTGTGAGAACATGGTTGTCGCGCGCACTCTCCCATTGCGCGGTTTACGTGACATAGACGGCATGAGATGTTGTTGGTTCCTCCGTGTGGTCCCCGAATGGTCCCCCGCGTGGTCTTCCGTGTGGTCCCCCCGTATGGTCTCGCATTATGATCTCCCCGGTTGTCAACCCTATGGTCTCGGGAATTGCCTCCCGCACGGTCTCCCGCATGGTCTGCCGTATGGTCTGCCGTGTGAGCTCCCGAAGGGTCTCCCCGTATAGTCTCCCGTATGGCATCCCATGCGGTCTCCCGTCTGGTCTGCCCTGCGGTCTCTCGCCTTGTTCCCCGTGTGGCATCCTTCATGGCCTCCCCTGTGGTCTCCCCTCGTGGTCTCCCTCTTGGTCTCCCTGTGGTACTATCTGCAGTGCTCTGTACACATTGCCTGTCACTGCTTACAGTGCTCGATATGTTGGACCTTACGGTGCCCTTGGGAACTGTGCAGGGTACTCCACAATCGAACATGTAACTCCCGTTCTGGATGCCGGTGGACGGGGTGATGACGTCATGCCTGCCATGTGGGCTTATCGGGTCGGGCGAAAGGGGGGGATAGCAAAGGGGGGGTTTGAGAATCAGCTCACGTAGCTGATTTTCCCGGCGCCTCCCGGCGCCGGAGGCGGCTATGTATCGAGGAATGGGCCCCTCGGCGAGGCCGAAACCAGCTGCATGCAGCAGATTTCGTAACCCCCCCTTTCCCAATCCCCCCCTTTCGCCCGGCCCGAGCTTAGAAGGGCATCCTGGCGGGCGATGTGGCACAATTGGGACTCTCCCCTGGCAACCGCGGAACCCGCGCTGGCGGGCGTGGCCCGATGATTTGGAGCACCGGGGCCTCGCGGCCGAGGTAGTGACACTGTCGGGGATGGACAGACCCCCCTTTAGTAAAACGTGGTTTAGTAAAAACGACCTGAGGCCCAAACCTGGCGGGCGCAAGCCTGGAAAATAACGGCCACGGCGCCCTCTCGAGAACCGAAAACGGACAATTCACTAATCGACGTGTCACTGTTGGGGGTTCTGTCCACCCCCGACACTGTCGGGCGAGGCACCATCCCTCAGGATGCACAAGAACATCCAACAGACACGAAGAACATCAGGGCACCCTCCCCGAACCAACCTCGATCTTACACCTCCGCCCGACCGCATGAAACAAAATACCCACTATCCGTGCAACGGTGGCAGAGAATTGCAATTCTGGATCCCGTATATTGGAAGACCAAGGCACCCTTCTGTCACGGGGGACCACCCTCTATCCGTACAGTTGCAAATATGCACCACAAACATAAAGGAAACATCACGCGATAATCGCATCTTGCAGAGGAACCGTACACCATCGAAGTACATGCTGCAATATTGAAAAAATAATGTGCGCAGCGCTACATAAGGCGACAACCACATAGTCTAAACCAACCACCCTTCACCCATGTAACCTACACATGTTAGATATAATGAACGCGGCGCTAAGCGAAACAAACCCCATCATGCAACTGCCCTCCATCCTTGTATCTTGGCACAAAAAACAAATGGGCGCGGCACTCAAACGAGAACACAACTTTGAACCGACACGACCTCGATCCGTGCAACTGTTGCAAGCTGTTATGACGAACAAGCGCGGAGCTGAGGCGACAGCCAAATCTTGAAATGGTACAGCCCTCCCTGGTGGTTAGCGCGGTGACCTTTGCAAGCACATGTGCGCGGCGCTAGGGCAAGAGCCCCACTTTGAAAACCACTCCCGCTCAACCCTCGTGAGTCGAACAAGCTCTGAAAGCGGAGGTGCGCGGAGCTCCGGCGAGAGACCTGCTTGTAAAGCTGCTCCCTTGCATCCTTGCAGCTGTTGCGGATCTCACTGTTCGGGATCATGGGTGTTGAGGAGGCCGCGGGCGCAACGCCCAGCCCGCCCCACCGACTCGTCTGGGCGTGCGCCAGAAAGGACCTGCCTCTCCCGGCAGTGTCAGAGGGGGGGGGGGTCACCACCAGGGGGTCGCCAGGAGGAGGAGGAGGAGGAGGAGGAGGAGGAGGAGGAGGCGGTGGCGGTGGCGGTGGCGGAGGCGGAGGCGGAGGCGGAGGCGGAAGAGGAGGAGGCGGAAGAGGAGGAGGCGGAGGAAGAGGAGGCGGAGGAGGAGGAAGAGGAGGAGGAGGACTTCCTCGAGGAAACGACGGTTCCTTCAGGACGTGGGGCCCCCCCAGAGCACTCCGGGGACGCCCCAAGACGACGCCCTATAGGTCCAGACACCCCCCTCGAGCTCCGATCCTGGAGCCTCGCTCCTCGGGAGGAGCCGGGGACCCAACTGGTGCTGACCTCCCTCGGCGCTGAAAAATGAAAACCGAACAAAGGGAGACAGATAACATTCAAAGAATGGAGGAACGGAACGGAACACCATAGATCTAGAACCAACTAGAACCACAGATCTAGACGGAACAACAACATTGATCTAGAACCAACTAGAAACGACACAGGAGAGGAGAAGGAAGGGCCGGCAACGGAACCGCAAGGCGTGGTAGGCACAGACCTCACTGCCAAAGTGTGCTCGCGTCTGCCACTCCCGCCAGGGCAGCGGCGATGAGGCAGAGTCCGCGGGTAATTCTCGCAAGAGACCGCTTGGGTCGCATCGGCTGCGACAGTGAACATCTGACGCCACGGGCGGGACGTCTGGGTGAGTGAACCCAGAAGCGAAGATGGGAACAAAGACGACGAGCAAACGAAGAGCAAATGGTAAAAAAGGGAAATGGCAGGACGCGCGCGAAGAGGAGGAGGAAGGGGAGGAGGAGGCGGATGATAGAGAAGGGCAGGGTGAGGGGGGGCGAACAAAACCGACCCACGGACCTCTTCAGGGATGCGTCCTTATTCGTGGCGACTTCTGTTGGAATCGATGGAAGGGGCCCTGGGACACACAAACAAATAAACACAAATTACAGGATTTCCAATCATTTCTCATATTTTCTTGATTTTCGTCTTCCCCCCCAGTTCCCAAGTGTTCCATATTTTCTGGGCGATCGACGATTAGTTGTGTCTGTGTTTTTTCTCCTGCTGAAACGAGCCGTGGCGACGAGAAGCGCCCCGAAGGCCCAACCAAGAGCGGCACACGTCACACATACCTCTGGGCACGCTTTCCCAAGGGATCCGGCAGGCGGTGAACGAGCTGGAGGAAATGGGGGATGAATAGGAATATGACTAGGAATAACATTACCCCCCCAATCAATGGATGGTTTTCGCTGAGGAGGTCGACCGGAACCCGGGAGCCCGAGAACCCAGAACCCACCGAAATCGGCCCGGAACCAATAACCGGGAACCCGGGAGCCCAGAACAGGGAACCCAGCCTGCTACCAAAATCGGCGGGAAACTTTGCCCAAATTTGTCAACTTCTGCTGGGACCCCTTCAGTGCAAGCACTGATTGGGGAAATAGGGCTAAGGATAGCCACATGACGATGTCGTATCACATGTGAACAAGGTTGACCGCCGGCTGCCTTCTCGGCACCACTCAAGACCTTGGGAATTATACCTCTGTGGATACGGCTCGTGTGCTCCCTCCTGCTTCCGTTCCGAGGCTTCTGGCACGACTGCTTGCGTCCTCCGCCTCCTCCGCCGCCTCCGCCTCCTCCGCCTCCTCCGCCTCCTCCGCCGCCTCCTCCTCCTCCTCCTCCTCCTCCTCCTCCTCCTCCCTTCCGAAGCCTGGCAGGAGCAGGAAGACGAGCTGTGCCCACTGCTGACGGGACGCCCCGCGACGGCACAGCATGTGCTTAGATCGTTCCTCGACTCCCGAGGCCCAGGAGGCAAGGGGTCTGAAGCCGACCTCCGGGCCAATCCTGGGGTGCGATCTGATCAAAATCTCGCGGGGGGGGGCCCAGGGACACACAGACAAATAGACACACATCCCAAGATTCCCCACTTTTTTGTCCACACCTTCCGGATGTTAATCTTCCCTTCCACTTCCTACATTTTCCCCATACGGCGGGACACATAGGACAGACAAACATCCTCCATGAACACGAGACCCTCCGCCGGCCAAACTGAAGGATATTCGAGGATACCCTCCCCCAGGATGCGCAAGATCATTCAACACGGAGAACATCTGGGTACCCTCCCCGAACCGACCCTCGATCTAGTGCCTCTGGCCGACCGTACTCTCCTGGGGAGCGACGATTCTGCATGTCTGCGCGTGTTTGCCCCTTAACATTAGGTCGGGCCCGCCCCCCTACAGAGGGATTTTGGATGAAATATAAAACATATAGTAAGCAAGTGCCCCCAGAGGGTCCACAATGGTCGAAAAGTCGCCCCCAGACTCTTTTTCGACCATTCTTGGATATGATTGTGGACTATTGTTTGACTATTGTTTGGCTACGTTGGATTTGTGGTAAATGGTTGTGTTTGATTATTCTTGGGTTATGTTGTTTTTGGTTATTGACTTGTTTCGATTATTTGGTGGTTATGGTTTTGGCTATTTGTTAGCGAAAATGTGTCCCTAGATTTCCGTAGAGGGACAGGCCCGACTTTCGGGAGCGGCCAAGAGGGGGGTGTCCAAGAGGGGGTGGGTGCACATCATGACCGGCGGCACGTGCGCGGCCCAGCGGGGGGACCAGGGACGTAATGGCATAAGAAGAGGCGCCATGAACTCTGGGGAAACAACATGCCCCGCGCCATGAAATCCCCCCCCCCTAGTCGTCACCTCCCTCTTTGCCGCCCCCGACTGTTGCTTGGCTACTTTGGATGTGCGGTAAACGGTTCTGTGTGATCATTTTTGGGTTATTATGTTGCCAGTCATTGATGGACTTGTTTTCATTACTTGTTGGCTATGTTTTGACCATCCTTTGGCGAAAAGTTGCCCCCAGATTTCCATAGAGGCACAGGCTTCCCCCGAAAGCTGCCCTCACGGAGCCCGGGCCGCCCGGCGACGGGCCCCTCCCCCCCCGCACCCCCCGGGCAGCCCCCCGGCAGTCCGAGGTGGGGCGCGCAGGGCCCCCGACGACGGCGAGCCCCTCGAACCCCGGCCTCGCCCCCCGAACGGGGGGCCGCGGAGATTGGGCCACGGCTGGGCTGCCGCCCGCTGCCGTTCGGGCGCGCCGGGCAGAGGCGGGCGGGGGGCCCGCGCGGACGCCGGCGCGGCGGGGGGCGGCGGCGGCCGGCGGCGGCGGGCCGGCGGCGGGCCGGCGGCAGCGGCTGAGCCCAGAGCCTCGAGACAGAGAGAGCAGAAAGATGCACCCTCGGAATGAGCACCCCGACGAGCGGAGCCGAGCCTCGGCGAGCCTCGAGCCTCGAGGCAGAGAGAGAGCAGAAAGATGCACCCTCGGAGTGGGCACCCCGACGAGCGAAGCCGAGCCTCGGCGAGCCTCGAGCACGACAGAGAGAGCTGAAAGATGCACCCTCGGAGTGGGCACCCCGACGAGCGGAGCCGAGCCTCGGCGAGCCTCGAGCACGAGGGAGAAAACGGCAGAGGTCCACCCTCCGAATGATCACCCCGACGAGCGAAGCCGCTCAGCAAACGCACCCGCGGGAGGAATCGAACAGGGCGGAGTAGATGGGGTCAGAGCATCGCGCCGCATCGACGATGCCTCGGCGATGCATCGGCGATGCCTCGGGGATGCGTCGACGCCACAGGCGATGCATAGGCAACGCCAGCGCGGAGAAGATCGGGCTCCACATCGAGCCGCATCGGCGATGCATCGGCGATGCAGCGCGATCCTCCGACTCCATCTACTCCGACCCCATCTAGGAGGCCTAGAGAACCTCGGCGAGCCTCTCGCACGATAAAAAAAAAACAGAGACATCAATCCTCAGCATGAGCACCCCGGCGAGCGAAGTCGCTCAGCAAACGCACCCGAGGAGGGAATCGAGCAGGGGCCGGGGGCTGTTTCGTACACGCCCGGGCGGTTACGTACACGCCAACACTACCGGGGCCGGGGTGTTTTTTCCTCTCTTGACACGGGGTTCCTGGAGCCTCGATCATCGAACCTTGGCGAGCCTCGATCCTCGATCGCTCGATCGATGGCTCCACCATTCCCCCCCCCCGCTCCTTCGGTAGACTCCTTCACGTTGTCCACGACCGGCGCCACCACGTCCTTCAGGATAATGGGGTTGGTGGCGCCGGCGCTGCGGGCAGCCTCCTGGCGGGTGTGCGGGATTTTCGGCAGACGCGTTTCCTGGGAGCGGAGCACGTGGACGGAGGATGGAGACAGGCAAGCCTGGGCCGGACAGCATCGCGAAACCGGGTCGGCCAGATATCGGATCGCCAACGAGGTCCTTCCGAACCCAATGGAACTCGGACGGCTGCGCCCCGCTTTGGCTGGCAAACCCCCGCAACTCGAGCCGAAGCGAATCGGAGTCGCGGCCTCGGCCAGCGAATGGAATCGCCTCGAGTCGCCTGGTGGGTGGCCCTGGGAGGGCCCAGGCTCCCTCGCGTCGTGGAGAGATCGATGCGGGAGAAATGGATGGCCGTTCCTGGTTTCTTGGGGGCAGATGCTGGACTCCCCAGGACAGTCCAGCAGCGGCTTTACAATGAAAAGCCACAGTGCGCTAGCGGAGGACGGTGCGTACTAATGCATTTCCTGCGCACTGGATCTTACCAGCGCGCCTCCAGAACACTCAAAGGCGTGCCACCATTACCACGCCCCGGGAGCGCGAAAGGCACACAAGAGGAGGAGGAGTGGGAGGAGGGAGGAGGAGGGGGGAGGAGGAGGAGGAGGCAGGAGGGACGTGGAGGGAGGAGGAAGGGAGGAGGAAGGGGGAGGAGGAGGGAAAAGGGAGGAGGGGAGGAGGGAGGGAGGATGAGGAGGGAGGATGAGGAGGGATGAGGAGGGAGGAGGAGGAGTAGTAGGAGGAGGAGGAGGAGGAGGAGGAGGAGGAGGAGGAGGAGGAGGACGATTAAAGGACGATTAACAACCAAACTACAACTCTCACCGATGAGCAGCTGGCGATTGACAGGGAGCTTCCCCTGTCGGCGCTCTGTGCGCCTTGAAGGGCTTACGTGCACATTGACACGGCCCGCACCTGGGGGCAAGGAACGGGGGTCTTCAGCCCACCGCAGCCAGCACGCTGGGCCAGCACGCTTGCCACCTACATTCAGTTTTCCGAGCTGCGTCCGCCCCGTAGGGCTCAAATCACGACACCATCGTGCCGCCCCAAGCCACCCGAGGGGGCGCCACTCCCCTCGGGTGACCCCGCACACCCATGCATGCGAGGGCGGGGCATTCTGGTTGTGGGAGGGATGGGTGCGGGGTCCACCAATGAGCCCCCCGCAGGGGACCCGCTCCCCCGCCCAGGCGCACGCGGTGTACGTGCCGGGCCACCGCAAGGAGGGAGCTGGCGACGAGATGCATTTTTCTCTCCCCCTGGCCCCTACGGGCAAGCAGGGGAGGAGGAATAGGAGGAGGAGGAGGAGGAATAGGAGGAGGAGGAGGAGGAGGAGGAGGAGGAGGAGGAGGAGGAGGACGAGAAGGACGAGGCAAAGGAGGAGGAAGGGGAGGGGGGGGGAGGGGGAGGGGGAGGGGGGAGGAGGAGGAGGAGGAGGAGGAGGAGGAGGAGGAGGGGAGGAGGAGGAGGAGGGAGGAGGAGGAGGGCCTCTGGTAGCGAGGAACTGACCCCCCCCCCCCTGCCGTGGGACGGCGGCAGACCGCACACCCTCTGCAAACACCCCCCCTGGTGGCGAGAAAGTGCCACCGATGCTCGGCGGCGCACGCGGGAGTGCACAGTCGCAGCACTGACCCAAGGAGGCCCTCAAGGAGGAACGGCCCCAGTGGCAAGGGTGACGTGCGCCCGCGCGACCAATTTCGACACACATCTCATACGTTTACTGGACCCAGAGGAAGCTCTACCGAATGCCCCCGTGTAAGGGTTTACATGCGGCCGCGCGGCCCATTTCGGCACACACACTCCACACGTTTCGTGGCCCCCAAAGGAACTACACCGAATGCCCCATTGGCAGGGTCTGCATGCGTCCGCACGGCCCATGTCGGCACCGCTCCAGGCACCCCCCTGGACGAGAAGAAAGAGGACCGGAAGAATCGAGGAGGGAGGAGACCACAGAGCCGCGAAGATCACCGAATCCCGAGCCCCCCGGATCGGCGGCACTGGCCGGAGGCCATTCCAATAAGGAGCGATGCCCTTCCTCTCCGTGGGTCAGTTTGCTAGATCCCATCAAAAGCCTAAGGACAACTGCGCAACAACTCAGGAACATTGAGCCCCTCCCCCACGAAAAGGGTTCCTCCTTCAGCAACCCGACTGTAGGGGGGAGGGGGGGCGGCTTCTTAGAAGGAGGCTGCGTCTTGGACGGCGCCAACCCTACATCCACAAGGAAGGCCGGCGCCTTCTGAGAAGCAGGGGTGCTTCTAAAAAGGCTTCCCCCTTCCCCGTACCCCACTCTGCGCGTGGCCGAGATGCCATGCCCCGGACGGTGGGACGGGTAGAGACCGAACCCCTGTGCGCATCACCTCTGGTGCTCTGGTGCACGTGAGCGTTTATGGTATTGCTGTATGTGGCTGTGTGTGGCTGGCGTATGTGTTGCGTGTCCATGTGCATTGGTATGCGTTTTGGAATGTATTGGTGCAGGCGTACGTGAAGTAGGAGGGCGGAAGGAGACAGGCGGTGTCGCAGGTGGACGCGGGTGGGGAGAAAACTGTGACCTCACTTAAGGAAGAATAAGACTGCCCCCCTGTTGAGCAGGGACCGACCGTCCTGGCATTCTTATAGGCCAAACACGAAATTGTCTCATAATCCCCACGCATTCCAGTAACAAAAAAACACTGCTCTCAGAACAGAAGCCCGACGTGTCAAAACAGGACACTCTCGGCAAGAAGTGCTCTGAGAACGCTCCGTGCAGACCGCACAGGGCACTCAGAACCTTATTCTTTGGTGGGCCTGTATGAAAGGGGCCCTGGGACACACAAATCAATAGACACCAATAACAGGATTCCCAATCATTTTCTTTACTTTTTGAGTTTCTGTCTTCCCCCCCACTTCCCATGGTGTCTGTGTTTTTCTGGGGAATCGACGATTCATGGTCGTTTTGGGGAGTTGTCTTCTTGGGAATCGACGATTCATGGTCTTGGGGAGTTGTCTTTTTGGGGAGTTGTCTTCTGTGTCTTTACTTTTTGAGTTTTTGTCTTCTGGGGAATCGACGATTCATGGTGTCTGTGTTTTCCCCCCTCCTGACGCTACGCGAGACGAGACGCCTCGCCACTGCTGCACCCTCTGCGCGTGGCCGACGTCTCCTCCCCTCGAGTATCGTTCAACCGATCCCCATCCCCACCAGCGCGGGCAGGGCCCCACTGGCCGACCTGCCCCTCTCGGGAAGACGTAAGACCCGGGTACGGGGGACTCGGAAATCCCCGACGAGGTCGTCAAAAAAATGACGAGGCCGAGCCTGCAGTTTGACGAGGCCTCCCGCTGCAGACATCCCTCGAAACTCCTCCTCGTCAAAATCCGAGGCGCGGTCGTCAAAAAACGATGGCGAACCCGAGTCCCAGCAAACCCGGGTCTTGCGCTCCCCCGACACTGGCCGATCTGCCCCTCCAGATATGGGGACGTGGGCCGCTCCCTTCAGCTTTCGAGGGAGGGTGCATCCCCAACCTGGGGGTGTGAGATTTTTTTTTTTGGGGGGGGTCTCGACGGGCATGGGCATGGGGATGGGGATCGGTTCAACGACACTGACCCCAACCCCCGACGAGAGGATTTCTTCGTGACGTCGACCCCCAGAGGTTCCGACCCTTTCCCCACGACCGCCTTTGCATCCGGAGCCGTTTTTCGACACTCCCGAGGCCGGGTGAAGGCCACCGGAGGCCGAAAATTGAGAAGAACCTTCCGTCATGATTTTTTCCTTACTCGAGGGGTCTGGGCTTAATGGGCCCTGGAAACGACAGGGCCGTTTTTGTTACCGGTTCCGTTTTGCCGTGTTTTTTGTCGATTCCGACGCCGGTTTTTTACCGGTTCCGTCGCCGTTCTTTTGCGGGTTCCCGCTCCGGTTCCAATCCTGGAGCCGTTCTTGTTGCCGTGTCCGTTTTTATTGCCGTCTCCACTTTCAGGAGATGCCTTTTCGGAACCGGTGGACAAAACGGCCCTGCCGTTTCTGGGGCCCACTATAAGGGTCTGGGGACCTCGGAAGCCACGCCCCCCCCCCCTTGGCGGCGCGCACAAGGGGGTGGGGGGAGGGGGAGGGCTTCTTAGAAGCAGGCCGCTTCTTAGAAGGCGCTGGCCTTATATCTATAGATAAGGCCCGCGCTTTCTAAAAAGCAGGGGTGCTTCTAAGAAGCCCTCCCCCTGTCCCCCACTCCCCTCTGCGCGTGGCTGACCCCCCTCCATTTTCAGGGAACACTTTTCCGGAAACGGTGGACAAAACGGCCCTGCCGTTTCCGGGGCCCACTATGGGTCTGGGGACCTCGGAAGCCGTTCGAGCCTTTCGAGCGCGGCTCCGTGCCGCCGCGCGGAGGCGCAGCCGTTGCCCCTCGGGAGCCACGCCCCCCCCCTCCTCCTCCTCCTCCTCCTCGTAGTCCTCTCCTTTTCCTCCTCCTCCTCCTCCCTTCCTCCTCCTCCTATTCCTTCCTCCTAATCCTCCTCCTCCTCCTCCTCTCCTCCTCCTCGGCCTCCTCCTCCTCCTCCTCCTCCTCCTTCGCCTTCTCCTAGTCCTCTCCTTTTCCTCCTCCTCCTCGTCCTCTCTTTTTCCTCTCCTCTCCTCCTCCTCCTCCTCGCTCCTCCTCCTCCTCCTCCTCCTGTCCCTCTTCCTCCTCTCCTCGTCCTCCTTCTCCTCCTCCTCCTCCTCCCTCTCCCCTCCTCCTCCTCCTCCCTCTCCTCCTCTTCTTCCTCCTCCTCCTCCTCCTCCTCCTCCTTCTCTTCCTCCTTCTCCTCCTTCCTCCTAATCCTCCTCTCCTCCTCCTCCTCCTCGTGTTTCTCCTCCTCCTCCTCCTCCTCGAGGAGAGGACGGACCAGGATGCCGCCCTCCTCCTCCTCCTCCTCTCTTCCTCCTCCTCCTCCTCTACCTCCTCCTCCTCCTCGTGCTCCTCCTCCTCCTCCTCCTAATCCTCCTAATCCTCCTCCTCTTCCTCGTGCTCCTCCTCGTCCATTCTGTTTCCTTATACATAACTCCCCCCCTGTCGCACCCCGAGGCCTGTCGAAAGGGCGGGCCAGGCGTTTCGCCTGAGACCTCCTCATCACTTATGACCCTGAAGCTCTGAAACTGGCAACAACTTCATACATGGCGAGCGGGTCGCTTCCAAAAAGCGGCTCTCTTCTTAGCGCCGCGAACATTCGTTTTATACATTTGCACGAAGTTCACGGATTGAGGGCGGGTCGTTTTCAAACTGTGGCGCGCGCATTCGTTTCAAATGTTTGCAAGAGTTTCACGGCTTGAGGGCGGGTGGTTTTCAAAATGTGGTTCTTGCCTCAGGGCCGCGCACATTCGTTTAAACATTTGCATCAGCTTCACGGATTCGCATGGCCAAAGTGCCAAACATTGTGTTTTGGAAGGGCTCAGGAGTGTTAGGGCGCAACAATTATGTTGATTCGCGGTGTTGAAGTCTCAAGAACGGTCTTCTGGCACGGCTCCGGATCGTCACGACGCAACAGTCATGTTGATTCGTGGCGTTGTAGTCTTGAGAAGTTCTCTTATCGTAGGAACTTGACATGCTCATATATCAACATAAAACACTTTTAAAATACTTTTAAACACTTCTGAAAAACAAAACATAAAAAATGGAACATGCGCGAAAAAATCGATTTTGCGATCGCTGCCACTACGCTGTCATTTGACAAGGATGTTCTACGTGATCGCACGCCAAGCGCCGCCCCACAAACTGCGCGGCGTGCGCCCATCGGCACGCGCGAAGCAACGACCGCGTGGTCCAAATACCACAATGGCAAACGCTGGCGCTGGGCGCGACGAGGCATGGCGGCCCAATCTGCATCGGTGGCCAAAGCTGTCGCAGTAATGCGCAAGTTTTCGAGCGCGCACATCGGTCCTTCGCGCTGCGGGTTGAGGAGCGGCCGCAACGCGGCTCACTCTGGTTCGGCGAATTGCCCGCGCGACGCGTCTTCAACCGCGCGCGCGCTGCCGTCCACGCCAGCACAAAAGGGTCTACCGCGGCGCAGGTTACCAACCTTTGCACCGCACAACGGCGCCATACAAACACAGGGTTCGAGGCGGCCCAAGAACCCCGTGGGCGTTGGAACAAACGTAGAAGCTTACACGGGACAGCGCGAGGTGTGATTGCATTTGATCAGTAACCACCTATCGGATCTCATCGCGGGCGCGCAACGGCGCCCCGCGACGACGGCCGCGGGGCGCCAAAGAGCTAGGCCCCCGTTGGGGCGTCGGACGCACGCCCGCGACAACCGCGGGGCAACTCATGATTCGCAAAGGCGGCGCCTCTCGTACGAGGCGGCGCTATCGCGTTGAGGACAAGCCCAGGCGCGTTCGGCGGGGCGCCGAAGCGCCAGGAGGCATTGCCAAGATGCGACCCACAAGGTCGCAATCCAACAGATCGGTGCTTCACGTGCGGATCCCACACTTGCGGTCGGACCGCATCGGGTCGCCGCGGGCCCCCCCGTGCGTGCATTCTTTACGTTCGAGCCAGCGGCGGGAGACCAATCGCCTTGACCAACAAGGCGACGGGGTTTCCCAAGGAGTGGGAGGGGGAGGGATGGGGGAGGGCAGGTTAAAGGGCAGCACAGTGGCGACAGGTGGCCGAAGAGCCCTGCCTGCGCGGGCGAACCGCTCTTCGCGGCGACGGCTGCAGAGAGAGACAGGGAGCAGGAAGAGAAAGAGAATATAGACAAGAGAAAGAGGGCAGCCAGCTCAGCAGAGCGCCCTCCCTGAGCGGAGACGCCGAGAGGCATCTCGAACGTCGGGAGGCTGTCCATCGGAGCTGAATGAAGTGGAACTTCTCGCGCTCAGCGGCCTGCCCTCCCCCCCCCCATTTTATGATGAAAGATTGGTGGATGATGATGGTCGTCGGCCAATTCGGCCGTTACACGGCCCACGGCTTGGCCCAGCGGCCACGCACTAAGCTGCAGCGGGGCACGGGCCGTGGCCCTTTGCCCCGCTATATCAGCCACGCGCCCCAGGCCCTGCCTTGGAGCAGGGGATTGGGGGGGGCGCAGGCAAAGGTGGGACCCTCTGCCGTGGCAGAGCCCACGGCGCGGCCGAGCGCCGATTAAGTCTACCGAATCAGGGCCCACGGCGTGGCCCAGCGTGGACCCGTTTAGTTGCAGCATCCCACTTCGCGGCCCAAACAGCTGCAACCCAGCACCAACGCAGACGCCCCCACTATGCCGTATGTGGCTGCGTGGGGGGCGCGCAGATAAACCCTTTGAGCCAAGGCATCGGAAGAGAAGGAGGAGGAGGGAAGGAGCCAATACTTGGCCCTATACAGGATGCCAAGAAATATCCCAAAAAGGCACACCCCTCACGCGGATCACGGGGTCTAAGCGAACAGGGACTGGGCTCTGGCACAGAGGCCCCATGGGCCCTGGAAGGCCGAGGACCCCAATGGACCCGCACGGCAGAGCAGACCAGCACGGCAGACCAACAGGGCAGACCAACAAAGCAGACCAACATGGCAACCCAAAGCAGCAGACCGACACGGCAGACCAGCATTGCAGAGCAGCAGGGCAAACCAGCACGGCAAACCAAGCGGGCACAGCAGGAGCCCAGCGTGCCCAAGACGCCCCCAAGGAGCTCAAAGCATACCCAAGACAGGCGCACCCCTCACGCGGATCACGGGGTCTAGGCGAACAAAGGGGTTAGGACGGGCAGTCACCACCTTAGCACCCCCCCCAAGCCACTTGGGCTCGAGGGGAGAAAGGTCGTGACCTTCGCCCCCGCCCGTGGGAGCCCCCATTCGCCCGCGAACAAGGGGTTAGGACGGGCAGTCGCCACCCTAGCACCCCCTCCCAGCCTTTGGGGCTGGAAGGGGGGAGGGGTCGTGACCTTCGCCCCCGCCCGTGGGAGCCCCCATTCGCGGACCCCTCCAACCCTTTGAGATCAAACAGGCGGCAAGCGGAAGCCTCGGGTGAATGCCGCAGATGTCCATAGAGGCCCCAAGACGCCCATACGGGCCCCAAGACGCCTTAAGACTGCCCCTGAGTGCCTAAAGCTTACGTATAACCCAATACATACATACCTAGCCCAAAGTTGCCCAAGATTGCGCCAAGCCAAGAGCCCCAAGATGACACCAAGACTGCCTTGAGATGCCAAGACATACACACCTAACCCAAAACGTGCAGAGACCAAGACATACATACCCCCTAGCCATTACATACGTAAACTAACTAACCCAAGACACGCCTTTGATCTACCTACGCAGGGACGGGGGGATGAGGAGGGAGGGAGGGAGGGAGGGATGGGAGGGAGGGAGCGGTGGTGGTGTGATGGTGGTGATGAACATGAAGGTGGTGCGCGTGGTGATGGTGGTGAGATGATGATTGTGATGGTGGTGCTGGTGGTGGTGATGATGAATGATAAGTGTGATGGTGAGGTGATGATTGTGTGGTTGTGATTGCGATGGCAATGATGATGTTGTGATGGTGAATGGTGAATGGCAGTGGGTGGTGATGATGATGAGCGTGATTGTGTGATGATGGCGGTGGCCATCTCGTGTTGGGATGAGTCATGGTGGTTGCGACCATGACGTTTGTCATATTTTTCGCCACCGAGCCCACCTCGACAGGAACGAGGTGGGCGACACCAGACTTCTCGCCATTGTCATCGCGTGGCTTAGAGCAAGAGTGCAATCGCTTTATCCACAACCGCCTGCAGCTTGGGATCGACCAGCTCCCAATGCTTGCTCTTCTTGAGGGCGCCCTTCTCCCTGTTGAGCGCGGTCTTGAGCTTCGTGTCCTGGCCGTGGTACTTGACGAGCAGCGCCGCCAGCGCGCGCTCTTTGCAAGTGAGCTGCATGCCATCGCAGAGCTTCGTGTAATCCTTCTCGAGCGCGTCGTCAACCTGGCTGTCGTAGTACTCGCGAGTGAACTTCAATGTCTGCAACTTCGCACCCAACTCAGCGCACGCCTTGTTGTATGAGTCCACCTTAAGTACTATGAGCGACTTCTTCGCAATGGCGATGATCTCCTCGAGGGTGCCCGTCTTGAGTGCGTCACTCCACTTCTCGTGGCTGGGCTCCAGCAGGATACCACGAGCCACCATTTTGACACTCTCCGAGGGCGGCGAGTTCTTGTCGTACGGGGCGTCGACAAACGTAGCAATCGTCTCCTTCATGGAGTTGTACAAGCACGGTGCATGGTCAGCCACGAACTGCTTCGTGTCCTCGAGGTGCTTATCGCTAACAGCAGGCAAACTGACTTCGCTTTGGCTCCCAACCTTTACCTTCAATGCCGTCAATGTTTTGGCCATTCCTGCGACGGACTGAAGTAGCTCCTGGCAGCGGTCGTCCTTCATCCTGTCCGCCACGTTACCACCCGCGTCGATGATCTCCGCCTTCTTGGATACCAACTGCACCATATCATCGGCAAACTTAGATACCCAGTGCCACTCTGCCTTCTCCTCGCCGCTCTTCGGTACGAACTCCGACAGCTTGTCAATCACCGAGGGTAACTGGGCCCCCTTGCACGTCATAGTACCTGGCTTCACCTCGAACGTAACGGCGCTGATGATCTCTTGGATGACACGCTTGACATCTTTGGAGAGCTCTTCGCTGTAGAGGTCGGACACGTCGGAGGACGTGAGAACGGATAGCAGTTTCGCCACCAACTCGTCGAGCTTCTCCTCATCGTTGACAATATCACTACCCTTTACCTTGTTCATGAACGGCTTCAATATCTCACGGGACATCGCTGCGCCAGCGCGTGCCCCAATATCGTGCGTCATCTCTGCGGCTGCATCCCAAGACGCCTTCATCTTCAACCCCGATTTCCGCAAGGCATCGAAGAACAGCCTGAAAGTATCCACGACGTGCATCGTGCCCTGCAAAGATGGGGCGCTGTTGAGGTTGTACTCCTGCGACTCGCCCGTCTGCACGCTGCTCAGAAGTTGCGCCCCTCGGTCGGCAATGCTGGACAACGTAGACTCCCACTGAGACACCGTCCCTCCGCGGTCCGTCCCATGGGAACTCTGAGGCTGTATGGGGGCTCTGCGATTACGCTGCCTTCCAAAACCCAATCTGTCACCCCCTCATCCGTCCATTGCTTCGTTTTGGACAATGTGGGACCCCGTTTGCTGGGCTGCAAGATAACCTCAAATCAAAAACATACACCACAAAGAACAGGAGGGGACCAAAGGCGCACATCAAGAAACGAAAACGCGCTCACTCTTACCGAAAAAGCCCCCATGCGCTGGGCTAGGCCAGACGATGCAATGTTATGGCGTTGGAGCACCCAAAAGCTTTACATGGAACTGCGAAGCTCATAAGACTGGATTGCTGGTACCCCTGGAATTTCCAAGAGCTGGACTTGCTGGGGTCTCTGGACTCACAAGAGGCTGAGCAGGCACCGAACGCTAGACGAATCAGGCCCAAAGTTCCCTTACGACCCTACTGACTGAGCCCCCCATGGACAGGCCGAATCTCCTGCGCGCGTGTTTTTCTTGATGGTGGAGAAATCCGCCAAGGCCCTCGCGTGCCCCTCGACCTTGCCGGCTTCGGTGGGGCACAAATTGATATTGACCAGGTGCTCTGCCATCTTCAACGCGCTGTCAGCGTGCGTGGCCCTGGTCATACGGAAAGAGACGATGTAAACTTTGAAGTACGGCAGGTCCTTCAGCAGAGCCCAGGTGTTGTAGGCGACGCCCTGCCAAGTTCCTCCTGAAGTATCTGTTGCCGTGGCCGCCGAGACTGCCTCGAGCGCCTTGGCCAGCATTGCATTCTGCGGGGCCAAGAGGCTCCGAATCGCGCGCGAAGATTTCACCACTTCAGAAATAGAGTTCACGATAGCCTCATCGGTATCTGAGGGCTGGTTCAACATGTGCTCTTCTCCTTCTGCAAGAATGTCCATCATCTTCTGCTGGGTGTTGTTGTCGGTGGCACGCGCAATCGGCGCGATGAAATAAGTGAAACACCACTTCTCGAAGTTCGTAATAACGACTCCCGTCTCGGACGGGATCATGAATGCCATAGGGTGCAGAGGGTTGAACTCCGAGTCTTGGTCGATGGGCTGGTCCTCCACGTCGTCGGCCTGATGACGACCACGGCCAATGACAGTTGACAACGGCAGGCGCGCCTCCTCCTCGCTCTCCTCCCTCCTCCACATCCTCCTCCTCCTCCTCCTCATTCTGCTCCTCCCCTGCATCCTCCTCCACCTCCCCCTCTCCTCGTTCTCTGGTCACCCTGGTCCTCCTCCTCGTCATCATCTTCTTCCTCCTCTTCCAACGCAAGACTGGGCGACTAGTGACTAGACTGGCAATGGGCCTCCGCATCCACCGCCGAGACGTCCCACGGCAAGCCGACGCGGAAAAAGTCCTCGAAGTTGACCCCATCCGTGACGACCTGCTCGCCGATCTCCCGCAGCTCCCTGGCCACCAGGTTCGCAGCCAACGTCGCAGGGAAGTTCATGTCCGCAGCCACCAAATCTTGAATCTTCTTCTCTAGGACTTGCTTCTCCCAGGCCATGATGTTTTCCACCTTGGAGCAATCCTCGGCGATATCTGCGAGCTCCAGCCGCTTAGTGAAGCGAGCAACATCAATCCGCTTGTTCTTGTTGTCGCTGTTCGACATCTCGTCGCGCAGCTTCTCCATCCTGACGCGCCTGTGCCCGAAACGCTTTGCACCTGCTGCAATCACGGTGAGGTTGATGCCGTCGATCCGCGCGGTTGCACTGTCCGCCTTTTGTCCTAAACCAGTTTCCGACGCGGCGTCGTCAAACGCCTGCAGCTGCTCGGCGCCAAGCGCCATGTGAACCTTCAGGGCGATCCAATTGCCCCTCAGGTGAAGCTTGATCGGGGAAATGAGGAGGAGGCAGGGGGTGGAGGAGGAGGAGGAGAGTAGTACTTAGAAGGGGGAGAACGAGTAGAAGGAGGATGAGAGGAGGTGACAGCAGGAAGAGGAGAAGGAACAAGTGGAGGAGGAGGAGAAGGATAACTCGGAGGAGGAGAGGAAGGATGGGGAGGGAGAAGAGGGTTGGGAGGATGCCAAATCCCGACCAATGCTTGACTTGAGGGGCAAAGGTGCGCCCTTTGAGACAGCCGTCGCTACCTTCTTCACCGTGTAAATCGTGACGTTGTCTACCACGAGCTGGTTCGAGAAGCCCCTGATCGCAGGCGACTGCGCGATGGACCCCTCGCCGCCAGCCTCGCTCTTGGCGGCGCCAGGAACCGCATCATCCTCATCCTGTTGGTCATCATCTCCTGCAAGGTCCTCATCTTCCTCTGCAGGCACTTCGACTCCTCCAGCCTCGATGTGGGCCTTGATATCCTCGTGCGTGTCGGAGCAAAGGCGGAGCTTCCTGGCCTCATCGCACTCGAGGCCTGATGGGCGATTCATCTCATCGAAGTACTCGCGAGCCTGGGCCTGGCGCCGCTGCTGCGAATGGTGGAGCTTGAACTCTGTCTCGCTCGTCTCGATTTCAACGCTCATCTCGTACTCGATGCCAATAGACGGGTCGATCTGCGTGCTGTCCTTCAGCAGCACGCCCTTGCACTTCTCGTTCGTGTGGGGGTCAAGCAAGTCCTGAAGTTTACGACCCGCCTCGACGGGGGATTTCTTGAAGATCCGTTCGAACTCGGTTGGGCGGAGACCTCGATACCGCGAGATGGCCTTGAAGGAACGCTTCTCACTGCGGCGCACGTTGGACGGGTAGAAAAGCTGCAGGCGTTTCTTCCTCAAGCGAAGCGAAATGGAGAAGTCAGTGCCGAAGTCCTTATCACCGTTGCACTTCTGGAGCACTTCCTGCGGTGTACCTACGTTCTCGTACCCAAACCAGCAGTGGTCTTGGCAGTCTCCGCAGATGGGCCCTGTGGGTTTCGAGAGCCAGGTCCCATCCTTGGCTTTACTCTCTTCGTAAGCGCCCCACTTCTCGACCTTGTCTGGCGTTGTGGAGCAGGACTTGCGCATGCACTTGACGGAGCCCAGGAGCTTGATACCTTGCTTTGCTGCCGCGCGAAAAGCCTGTGAAAGCCTCATGGGCTGGCCGGGCTTACGTTTCAAGACGCCCTTCTTGACGCCCTTCACCTCAGAACTCTTGGCGCTGCCTCTGGCCGACCCTGCATTGGACGCTGTAGCCACGGAGAAGCACGCCTCAGATGACGCTCGACCGCACCTGGCAGCTTTCGCAGGAGGCGTCTGGAGAATGGCAGAGGGATCGCCACGCTTCCTGGACATTGGCTGACAAGTGACAAGTTACAGTACAGAAGCTGCGGTGGTGGTGACTGGTATAACGAAGTACAAGGGCGATCCTCCACGTGCAGCTGTGCTGACCGCTGGGTCTGCAGCACGAATGCCTCGATACAAAAATGTCTGACGATCAACAACTGAAGCTGAAATGTGAAGCGTGGGAGCACACTTGTGATGTCTGCGGGCGTGCCGCGTGCCAGTCCAAGACGACCCAAAGGCTCCCCAAAAGTGACCCAAAGAGATCATATCTGCTACACCGACGTCACTCCAGGATACAAACATGTATTGCCATAAAAGCTTTTCACCATAATCAAGATCGGCAGACTGTCACACCCGCCTGGCCGCTTATGGACGGGCCCAGCCATGAGGCCAGGCAAGATGCTCAATGCATGCTGCTGTTTGCAACGTGCTGAACACAAAAAACTGCTGAGCTGGGGTCACCGCCATCAACCGTCATCGTCATCATCATGATTACACTTCACATGCACCTCCAGAATACCTGCATGACTACTACACTGACCTACTGCTGAGGCAATGGCTGCGTGGCGCCCGCAAACGGGGTCAAAGACGCCGGCAACAAAGACCCTGTGCTGGACGAACTGTTCAATCCAGGTGCTGGACGACGAGGGCCACGAAGACACTGTGAGTTCAACAAAGATTCGATGACGCCAATCTTATCCTTCATCTCTTTCATATCTGACTCGATGCCAATGATCTTGCTCACCATCTCCTCGCGCATGCTGGTCTGCATGGTCTCGATGTTGATTATCTTGGCCATCATCTCCTCCTGCTGTTCCTGCGCTTCTGTGATCGCTGGGGCCACCACATCCTCGTGAGTGTTCTTCAGCATCTCCATGGTCTTGGCCATCGGGATCAAAGTGTCCTCCTGCAAGGTCTTCAGGTGCGCCACGGAGTTGGCCAATGACCAGCGAGGTGACTCTTGCAACTCACCTGAGCTGCTCGGCAATCCTGGCGGCAATGCGACTTGCGACGCGACTGTGTCGGACCCTTTCCCCATCTGGAAAACTGGCACTGCTCCACGTCCTTTCTGTCCGTGATGTACTCCGCTTGCGTTTCCCTGATGTCCTTGCTGTACTGCGTTGCCGCCTCCATGCTGTACTTGGTGTCCTCCGCCTTCGTGCTGCCATTTCTGACTTGACCAGATCGGGGGTTCGTCGTCGGTCGGAGGAGAATCAGTCCAATATCTCTGATTGACTCTGCGGGATTCCCAAATCAGATCACCTGCGCGTGCCGTCCTGCGAACGGGGCCAGTGGAAGTTCCATAGCACCACGTTTTAGCCTTGTCCAAGTGAGAAGAGTTGACCAGGTGCTGCGCGTTCTGTAGCCACTTGTCGCACGCGAGACACTTCCAGTATCCCTCGCGTTTCCCAAGGTATGGAGTAACTACCTCCACATCGGAACCCGCGAACTTACACAGCTCGGGTGGCTCATCCTGGCCGCGCCAGGCCATGGCCAACGGCTGCGCGGGTTGGCGCGTGGGCACAGTTTCTTGGAAACAGAACCCAAAACGCTGAATGAGCTCGCGTCGCCGATCATCGGCTCAGGCCGCGAAGCGCGAGGTACGACTATGCAATCGATCTCAATGTCGCTCTCGCTGCGTCGTTATCGATCTCACTATCTTACTTTGGTCACGCAGGGCAACGAGGACGAGGCCCACAGAAGAGACAGTGGGGCCCACTTCCTGGGCATAGAGGGAGGCACATCTTCAAATATTGCCCCCACCCGCTGGCAACTACTTAGGGGGCATTTGGAGGAGGGACCCAGAGGGAGGAGCCTTGACGGCAAGGCCCATATGTGGGGCCACACTAGACAACAAAGAAAAAGCCCGCAAACAAAACAAGGGGTCCATATCATAGAGGGCGGCTCATTTTCAAAACTTGGCTCCCGCACACTGGACACTCCTTAGGTGACCTCATGATGAGGAAACCAAGAGGGAGGCGCCTTGACGGCAAGGCCTACAGGTGGGGGCCACACAAGGCACCAATGAGGAGGCCCACAAAGCAAGTTCCAAGGGGTCCACATCCTATGCTCTAGACATCGAGGGCGCCACATATTCAAAGCTTGGCTCCCGCCCGTTGGCAACTCGTTTGGGGATCTCTGGTGGGGAAAGCCAGAGGGAGGCGCCTTGACGGCGAGGCCCAGAGGTGGTGGTCACACAAGGCAACAAGGAGGAGACCCACACACAAACCTAAAGGGGTCAACGTCCTACCTAGGCATTGAGGACGGTTCGAATTCAAACATGAGCCCTCGGTCGCTCCGACCAACCAGAGCACGTTCAGCGTATTTACGCATATGTGAATGATCAGATGCGGCGCTCTTCCACAACGCCCGTTGCCCATCTGTCATCCCGAAGTGTCCTTTAGGATTCCTTAGGTACCCTGAAAAATCGTGACATATTCCTACATGTTACAAAGGAACCCTGATGACCCAATCGGATTTTCAAGGATTCCTGAAAGCTTCCTGGGGCCTCATGAGGATTAGGTCGAAGCCTCCCGAATCCGTAAGGGTTCGTACGGATTTCTATTCATTCTTCAAGCGAAGTGCAGACTCCTGAGGACCGAGGACCCCATGGGATTCCTAAGGAGCAAGGAAATTATTACAAACGCGCTTTTCATATTTGTCAGTAGCCGTAAGGGATCCTAAGGCTTCCTAAGAGCTACCACGGATTCCTGAGGATCCCCAAAGACCTCGGGGAACTCCTACGAAGTCCTGAAGACCCCCAAGACTCTGGAAGGATTCCTAAGGATGCCTAAGGATGCCTAAAAGCCCCGCAGGAGTCCTACGGCTTCTATCTCTATATAAGGATCCATGCGGAACCCACAGAGTCCGAAGGATGCTTCAGGTGACCCTAAGCAGTATTATTTATAATAGAAGGCGCACCATGATCTTGAGGAGCCCTTCAGAAATTATGCGGAGCCCTACGGCTTCTAAGTTCTAAGGTCCAAAGGCGCCCAACGGGTTCCAGATGATGCCTGGGGACACCCAGGATCCTAGCGATTACCATGGGCGCCGAAAAGTTCCAAAACATTCCTCAGGATTGTTAAGGATTCCTCGGGGACCCAAACAAGGTCTAAAGGATTCCTGAGGAAGCTTAAAGGTCCTAAAAACTTCTCTGGGCCCCTGAGACGTCTTAAGAATTCCTACGTGTCCCTGCGGTTCCTGCATGTTCCTAGGGGTTCCTGATGGGCCCAGAAGATTCCTAAGGCTCCCCAACGACTCCTAAAACTTCCCAAGTGCGCCTGACAGCTCCAACAGAATTCACAGGGGCCTTAAGGAACCTAAGATTTCCTAATTCATTGGCCCCAAATAGTTCCAGGCTCTAAGTGGTCCCTTAAGAGTCCTGAGGAAACTTCAGGGTTCCTAAATCCTAAGAGCTTGGGGGGGGGGGGGCTTGGGGGTGGTTTGGAGGTGGCTTGGTGGTGGCTCGGTGTGGCTTGGAGGAGGCTTGGGGGTGGCTGGGGGTGGTGGTTTGGTGGTGGCCTCGGGGTGGCGTGGGGGTGGCTTGGGGTGGCTTTGGGGTGGCTTGGTGGTGGCTTGGTTGGGGTGGCTTGGGGTGGCTTGGAGGTGGCTTGGTGGTGGCGCGGGGGTGGCTTGGGGCGTGACTCGGGAGCGGCTAGCGGTACTTCGCGGCCCTCGGCGCCTCGGCTCGCAGCCCCCGAAAGGCGCGATGTAAAGCGTTTAGCGGTGCTTCGCGGCCCTCGGCACCTCGGCGCGAACCCCCGAGGAGCGCGAAGTACCCTGTATAGCGGTGCGTCGCGGCCCGCGGCGCTTCGGCGCGAAGCCCCCGAGGGGCGCGATGTAGAGCGCTGCGGCCCTCGGCGCCCTTAGCGCCTGGGCGCGAAGCCCCCGTGAGGCGCGACGTACTGCGCGCGGCCCTCGGCACCTCGGCGCGAAACCCCGAGGGGCGCGAAGTACAACGTTTAAAGTCTAGCGGTACGCTCGTGAGCCGCGCCTCTCCCACCCCACCCCCCGCGCGCACTCCCCCCGCGCTCCACCCGCGCCCGCGCCGCCCCCCACGCCCCCAGACCGCACCACTCCCCCACCCACCCCCACCACCACCACCACCGCTCCCGACACCCAACCCTACGCGCGCAATTGCCTGCGTATACACTGCCTGGTGGCAGAGCACCCAGCCTATTCACACCGATGTCGCTATCTGACGAGCAGATATGGTCCGCTCACGGGCGCAACCCGCGGCGCCCGCGCGCGGCGCGGCGCGGGGGAGGGGGGTAGATTGACGTTTTCGGAGCACTTTTTCTGGTAAGCTGTGTTGTGTTATACTTAGACCACGCTGCGATCGCCAGTGACCTGGGCTGAAAAATACCTAAGGGAAAAAAATCGGCAGTTGCCTGGGCTGAAAAATGCCTAAGGGAAAAATTATCGATTTCAACATGGGCCGCTCAGGAATTCGAGAAAAAAATCGGATTTTCCATTTTTACATGGAAATTTCTATTTTTTATCGGATTTTAAATTTCTTTTCGGATGGAAATCGGGCAGCGATTTTGCCCCGACCACCGGTCGATCCCTGGTGATGGGAGCGGGCGGAGCCCCCCTTGGTCGGCCGATCGCTGGTGATGGGAGCGGGCGGTGCCCCCATTGGTCGGTCGATCCCTGGCGATCGGAGCGGGCGGTGGCCCCATTGGTCGGCCGACCACTGGCGATCGGAGCGGCTGTGGCCTCAATGCGCCTACCTGAGTCAGGCAAACTGGGCCAGCGATGGCCTGCAACTGGCCAAAGGCGGGCCCATCTGTTACGCACAGTGCACCGCTGATGGATAATGAGCGCGGGCACGTGGCGCCGCAGATGCACGCGCACAGTCGGGCGAGGCGCCCGAGGCCGCCCTTTGCGC